CAAAAAAACGCGTTCCAAATGACTACTATTTAGACTACGCGTTCTAAATGAAAACGCGTTCTAAATGACTACTATGAGTATTCTCGACAGTTGCAACCGTAACTTGAAAGAACCAGCAAGATATATCAATTCTATGGCTCTATTCACTAGACCATAGTTTTTGTAAAATTTTAACTCAGAAGTGTTTTTCTAATTAATATCAGTTTTTCTGCTTTTTATGATTAAAATGGCAATTTCCCACTAATTGTCATGTTATTTTACGTCGTTTAAAACAAGGAAAAACAAAATAAGATGAACATGACAAATTTCATTTAACTGTACGAGATAACTTTTGAGGTTTTTTTAGAAAACAGTTTTTTACGTATTTCAGAATAGCGATTTTTCTTGCATGAAGGCTCGTTTATTTTATTCTGAAAACAAGCAAGCTTACATGCTAAAAACTTTAGAGGAATGGCAAGGACCATATACTGCCTCTTCAAAACTAACTCTAACCCTTTAAAACCATCTTTGGGATAAATTAAAAACTTTTTTGACCATGTTCTCCTTTCAAAATTTTAAACTACATATTGTTATCGTTTGAAAGCTTGATAACACCCCATGTCAACCCAATAGTACTGAAAAACCCAAAAAAATTGAGAACACATCAAAAAAATGCCCAAAAAAAACAAAAGACCTCTTGATTTCAAACTATACAAAAAGATTTGGTCTAGTGAATAGAGCCATAGGATTATTATATCTTGCTGGTTTTTTCAGATTACGGTTGTAGCTGTCTATCACACTGATAGCAGTGATTTTGATTCGATTAAGTGTTTAATTCTTAGAGTGCATGTGAGATCAGAAAAACGAAAAAAAAAAACTTAAATCCAGCTTAGGGCTAACTTTAAAAAAATGACCAAGTTAAACTTCGAGTTTTTGAACATTGTTGGTATCGTTGAAAATCCTGATAACACATTCTTTCAACCCGATAGTCTTGAGTTACCCAAAAAACAAGAACAAATCAAAAAAACGCCAAAAAAATCAAAAAAAAACTCGTTTGAGTTCGAACTTTACAAAAATGTTTGGTTCAGTGAAAGGAGCGATAGGGTAAATATATCTTGCTGGTTCTTTCAGGTTACAATCATAGATGTCTAGCACAAACATAGCAGTCAATTTGACTCGAATAACAGTAATATTTACTCATAGAGCTGATGTGGGCTCAGAAAAACGAAAAAAAAACAGCTAAGGTCTTCTAAGAAAGTTTTAAAAAATGTTTGACCGAGTTATATTTCGAGTTTTCAAACAATATGGGTATCGTTGGAAAGCCTGATAACACATCTTTTCAACCCGATAGGCTTGAATAATCCAAAGAAATGAGAACAAATCAGAAAAACGCCAAAATTACGAAAAACCTCAAAAACCACCATTTCTCAGGGTCACTTTGGGTTACCCAAGCGGCCTTTTCGTTTGGAAGAGTTGTCATATAAGTGTGTTTTTGTCTTTTATATTACCATACAAAGTTATTTGTATATCATAGATACCTTTATAACACACTTTTTTGTATGTATTTACTTAGTATTTTTGACTGTTTTCCATTGTTTTTTTTTGTGTTTTTTTTGAGAATTTTAGTAGAAATTGCAATTTTAAGTGTAAACGAGGTTAATCGACTCATTTCTAGGTTTGCCTCTCTGTTCCATCAATGTTTTTGCAACATTTGTCTTAAAAAAATTTTTTTCCGTTTTTTTTTGGTTTTTTTAAACTTTTTTTAGGTTTTTTGAGGTTTTTCGATGTTTTGGGGCTTTGTGCCAAATATTTATGGGTTTTGAGCTCATTTGAGAAATGGCGGTTTTTGAGGGTGGTTTTTGTGAACATGGTGGTTTGTGAGGGTGGTTTTTGTGAACATAAGCACCTTGGCGCATGGTGGTTATCGAGCGGCCTTTGTTCACAAAAACCACCAGGCGCAGGACCTGGAAAATTGCGCCGTCTCCGCCTTGTTCTAGAATTTTGTTTTCTGAACTCACTTGCGTCGATTACAGTTGAAAACATTTTTTGTTTAGTTGTGAAACACCGCTAATTCCTGTTTGATTTATTAAACAGGTATTATGAAAACGTTTTTTTTTTTTTCAGATGAGATCTGTTTTTTTTTTTTTTTTTTTTTTTTTGAGACGCTTTTTCGAAAAATTCGCTTTCCCAAAAAACTACCCGTCAGATTCTCATAAAAGTGGTACCAATGGATTCAGTAGCGTTTCACCTACCTGCCTGCATGAAATTTAGGGCAATTTTTACCCTACCCCACCCCCTACGGTCTTAGAAAAGCTTCACAACTCGGTACTTTTTTCACTTTTTGCCCATTTTTTCGGAAATTATCGATTTCCTCAAAAACTACCCATCCAGATTTGGAATTAAGGGTTTAATCGATAGACCAGGTTGTAGGAAACTCCCCCGCACAAGCGGTTGGTCCTTAACTTGCCTAGGGGAAGAGCTATAGACTTGGGAAAAGTCACTTTTTTGGCCTTTTTTCAAATCTTTCCGATTTCCTCAAAAACTACCCGTCCACATTTGGGATTAAGGGTTTAATCGATAGACCAGGTTGTAGGAACCCCCCCCCCCCTTCACAAACGGCTCGTCCCTAATTTGACTAGGGGAAGATCTATACACTTAGGAATAGTCAATTTTTCGGTTTTTAGGCCATTTTTTCAAACTTTTTCGATTTCTTCAAAAACTACCCATTCAGATTTGGGATTAAGGGTTTAATCGATAGACCAGGTTGTAGGAAACTCCCCTGCCCAAGCGGCTGGTCCTTAATTTGTCTCGGGGAAGAGCTGTACACTTAGGAAAAAAAATTTTTAAAGTTTTTTGGCATTGGAACAAAGATTCAATATACTTATTGTGTGTATTTTTTAGACAATGGAATCCGCTATGCTTACGTTTTCTCGCTTTTGCTTGGTGCTATTGGCTTTGTGTTGAGTTTTTTTGTATGGTTCGAAGAAGTCCAACGAGAAGTTCCACGAGTTACGCTAGTTCTCTTTAATCAGGTCGGTTTGTTCCAGAACGTTTTTGTGATGTCAGTTATAGTCAACATATTATAGTCATATTTGCAATGCTTGGACAAATTTTAATTAATTCGAAAATTAAGGAGTCGTTAAAAAATTTGTATAACGTTTTTTCTGAAATAACCAAACAGGTCTCTCCAGCTTCCAGCTGGGCCCCTATTGTCTAGGGAAACACCTATGGACTTGAAAAGTTCCCTCATGAAAACTTTTTACCAAAGCGTTACCAATGAATGCATAAGCTTCTCTTTCACTTTTTTTTGCGTAGGAAGGGCGCTATCGACTTGAGAAACCTGAAATTTTAAAACAATTTTAAAATAATCAATATTAAAATAATCAAACAGGTCTCTCCAGCTTTCAGCTGGTCCCCTAGTTTCTTCGAGTCATTCAAAATATAATGGGCTGCGGTCGATCAAATTTTCATTCGGCTGAGTCCGTTCAAAACTAATTGGCTCGCTTCAAACACTGTCGAACACTTTATCCTTTGGTCGAGTCGGTCGAAACATAGCCAGCTTGGGTCGAGCCGGTCGCAACATAGTTAGCTTACAACAAACACAATCGAAGCCATTTTTTCTTTAATCAAGTCGGTCAAAACATAGCAAAATTGGGTCCAGTCTGTCAAAACATAGCCATTTTTAAACGAACCGGTTGAAACATTACCATTTTTGGTCTGTTTCAATGATATTATATTTTGGCTTTTTCTATTATATTTAATGGCTGCCCAGGTTGAGGTTTTTGAAAGGTGATTTGACAGAAACAGTCCAATGATGTCCGAGTGTCGTTATAGTTTAGGACTCTTCTGCTATTTCCCGATAAAGTCGAACAATGTCTGGTAAAGTCGAACAATGTCCAGTATAGTCGAACAAAGTCGAACAATGTCCGGTAAAGTCGAACAAAGTCGAAAACGGACATCGTTCGTCTCGAAAAGTCAAAATCTGACATCGTTCAACCATTTCGGTTGAATTCTGAGTCGAGCACCTCAGCCCGGTATGGAATTGTAAAATGTAAATTTTGTTTGCTTGAAAGAAAAATAAAATTTCCCAATTTTTTTTTCATATTTGATTTTTTTTTCTATGGAAAACGAGTAATTTACATAATTATAGGACATTAGTACCTAATTGGAAATCTTAACAATGCTAAATGGTGACAGATTCCAGAAAAGGTCACTTATATCAAACCATTTTCGAGAGAAAAAAGTTGAACGAAATTTCTACTTTTTCGTTCTTGGTTGCTTCTCCTTTACTTGGATTTGAACGGATTTGTTTTCGCAATTTGTTCTCATCCTCAGAAAAAATGATTAAAAAGTTTTCACAAGTGATTTTAAGTTTTTATTAACAGGTTTGCAAAAAATTTGGCGAAAATGCTTGTCATACAATTATCATATATGGAATTTGTATGGTAAGCACTTTTTGTAAAAAAAAAATTTAAAATCAGTTTTTTTCCGTTTCCAGTCTGTTGAACTGTTTTCAAAAAGCCGCAGAAATTGTTCAATTTTTAATTTCTATTGATTTTAGAAAATGTAGGAAAATTGTATGGTAAGCATTTTCGCCATACACTTGATGTATGGAATTGTATGATAATGGTTTTTGTTGTATGGAATTGTATGATAAGAATTTTCGGTGTATGGAGTTCAACCCGGGTACACTGGGGAAATAACTAACCAAAAACAGTCTCATATACTCGCAAACTTTGCAGTGCTGTTAAATTTTGTTAGCAGTGAATTAGATTATTTTTTTGTTTATCTTGGAATGTATTTCTAGTGTTCTGTCTGAAATAGCTAATTTTGTCAATTAGTAGTTAAATTTAATTGATTTGTAATCCGATATTTTTGTATGATTTATTTACTCTGGAATAGATTATTAATCTTCTGTTTTATTTTGCTTACAGAGAAGTTATAGAGACCTCCTCAAAGGTTTCACAGTGATAATGCAATTATAAAGTTGTCGACACTATTTCTGCGGTTTTTTCAGGACATGTAAATGTTGTAAGATGTTGGAATTTAATGCGAATGAGAGCTACCGACTGAGCATTTGTGTGGATAAATCTGTCTTCTCGACTATCGAGTCCGCACAGTGTGATGTGCAATTCTACCTTGTTAACTCACTGCTGTCGAAATGTCTTGGAACGTTCACGCTTGGTTAGTCATTTCGTATAACTCAGTTACTGCATTGAAATTTTCTGATATTAATTAAAGGTTCCGCGTAGCAGACAAGAAGTTGTTGTTGCTAGGAAGCCTTGTTCATGTAAAAGTAATTAATTTTGACTTCACTGGAATTAACACTGAGGAGCTTCCGAAAGAACGATTTATCTCGCAATCAAGGGAGCAACAGCAGCTTGCCGACAAGGGTTGACCAATTGGAATTCTCTTTTCATTTTCAAGGCTTTGTTAGTTATCATTGCATTTTTACCCTTGTGATAAGCAAGGGTGTTGCAATCGGCCACAAGGCTTTTTTCCGTAAATAGTTTTCTTCACAGAATCGTCAATTTTAGTAGGAATGTTAGATTTCACCCGCAATAGCTGACATGATCAATTTCTTGAAATTTAAAATAAATTGACCACCATTTAGTTAGGAATTAGGTGGAGTCTGTTTTAGGGAATATATATTCTTTTCAAATACTTTTTTTTTCGGGTTCGTGCTTTTCGTCGGTTCATTTTTCGTTATATTTACTGCAATTTTTATTATCTGATACGGTTTTGTTAATCATTGCATTGTTACCCTTGTGATAAGCAAGGGTGTTGCAATCGGCCACTAGGCTTTTTTCCGTAAATAGTTTTCTTCACAGAATCGTCAATTTTAGTAGGAATGTTAGTTTTCACCCGCAATAGCTGACATCAATTTTTTGAAATTTAAAATAAAACTACCATCATTTAGTTAGGAATTAGGTGGAGTCTGTTTTAGGGAATATATATTCTTTTCAAATACTTTTTTTGTTCGGGTTCGTGCTTTTTGTCGGTTCATTTTTCGTTATATTTACTGCAATTTTTATTATCTGATACAGTTTTGTTATGGGCATATTTTCTAAAGCATGGGTTTTGGTTCGATTTAAACAGTTTTTACTAAAATTGAAGTTTCTGTAATTTGTAATATTACCAAGTCTGATTTTGAGTAGATTCATTTTTTTAGTAATTGATTTTGTCTTATGATATCAGTTAATTTTCTTTTCACACTTTCATTTGTTTCGGTACGGATGGGTCGTAAAATTTCGCAACACTTTCTAGATCAGTATATCTTTTTTTTTTTCGTTTCATTTTCTCTTTTTTCAGCTTTAAGTGTTTGGTTTTTCATACACCCGCTTAGAAGCCTCTTTCTGTGTCGTTTCAAGAGGAAAAAATTTTTATCTAAATGTTTTGAGGTGGACTTTTACGTTTTTTTGAGCTTTTAATAAAAGATTTTTTAATCAGCGCAACGTGTTTTTGCTCACTTATTTTCTTTTCGGCTTTGTTACTGCTTTTTGAGTTTTGTTTTGATGCTTATAACGATTGCGATCAGCAAGCATTGTTAAATCGGAATCTAGACGTTTTTTTTCGGATTAACAACTAGTTGATGAAAATCAGTTGAATCACTTATCACTGGAACTCAAACCGTTCATGTGTTTAATTATTGAGTTTCGATGTTAGTATTTGAAAAGCAACAGCAGTTTTCACCCGCAATAGCTGACATTATCAATTTTTTGAAATTTAAAATAAAACTACCATCATTTAGTTAGGAATTAGGTGGAGTCTGTATTAGGGAATATATATTCTTTTCAAATACTTTTTTCACCCGCAATAGCTGACATTATCAATTTTTTGAAATTTAAAATAAAACTACCATCATTTAGTTAGGAATTAGGTGGAGTCTGTTTTAGGGAATATATATTCTTTTCAAATACTTTTTTTGTTCGGGTTCGTGCTTTTTGTCGGTTCATTTTTCGTTATATTTACTGCAGTTTTTATTATCTGATACAGTTTTGTTATGGGCGTATTTTCTAAAGCATGGGTTTTGGTTCGATTTAAACAGTTTTTACTAAAATTGAAGTTTCTGTAATTTGTAATATTACCAAGTCTGATTTTGAGTAGATTCATTTTTTTAGTAATTGATTTTGTCTTATGATATCAGTTAATTTTCTTTTCACACTTTCATTTGTTTCGGTACGGATGGGTCGTAAAATTTCGCAACACTTTCTAGATCAGTATATCTTTTTTTTTCGTTTCATTTTCTCTTTTTTCAGCTTTAAGTGTTCGGTTTTTCATACACCCGCTTAGAAGCCTCTTTCTGTGTCGTTTCAAGAGGAAAAAATTTTTATCTAAATGTTTTGAGGTGGACTTTTACGTTTTTTTGAGCTTTTAATAAAAAGATTTTTTAATCAGCGCAACGTGTTTTTGCTCACTTATTTTCTTTTCGGCTTTGTTACTGCTTTTTGAGTTTTGTTTTGATGCTTATAACGATTGCGATTAGCAAGCATTGTTAAATCGGAATCTAGACGTTTTTTTTCGGATTAACAACTAGTTGATGAAAATCAGTTGAATCACTTATCACTGGAACTCAAACCGTTCATGTGTTTAATTATTGAGTTTCGATGTTAATTTTCTGCTTAAGCTTTTTCGGCTTCATGGTTGTCGACTTAATTTCTGTCGGTTTAGTTTCCAAATTTTGAAGTCTTCTTTGAACACGCTATTTTTTGATTTTTTTAAACAAAAATTCCGGCTGAGTTGCAGCTAATCGGCCGTCGGCTTTTTTTTCAGTCGACTTATTTTCCTATTTTTTTTCCTCTAAATGTCCGGCAGTAGTTTTGATATCGATAAGACTCGGTCACCATTTTTTGAATGCCCATAATGAACCCCGCTGTGACATGTTGGAAAAAAATTTACTAAATTTTAACCCAGAATTTTTTTTTAATTATATTTTTTGAGTTAAAATTTCCTGTGCCTGGGTCAATTGTAAGCTTATTTCAAGTTCTGTTGGTTAATATTTGCGCGCCATGATGCTTTCATCCTATAATTGTTGTATCACTTGTGGTTCGAAGCTCAGCTTCACCTCTGTGTTTAAGGTTCAATTGTTTTGATCTTTGCATTTTTTCCTGAATGATTGTTTTTTCAAGAGAAAATCAAGACAATTGTTTAAAATCTTTTGGTAGATCAGTTTTTTTGGAATCAATGAATTTTTTCTACGGCTGCATCTCTTTTTTTGGTTAATTTGTCATGCTATGTATGTGTTTTGCCGCAAGCAATGCAAATCCTCGCTTCGCGGCTGTTTAGAAATTTTCTGAAGGTGCAGCTAATTCAGTTTTTTAATTTTTTTCTTTTAGACTTGCCGGTTCAGCTGCAAGTAGTGGTTTTGATTAGTTTTTGTAACGCAAGTGTTGCAAAGCTCTGCTTCGCCGTTGTGATCATTTTCTGTTCTGCTTCGCTAAATGATGTTAATGTTAACAAATGACGGTAGTTAAAGGGCTGATAGTTGACATCATAAGTGTTGTGACCTTCTCGGCTAAAGTCTCTTCAACCTTAAACCAATAGTGATATGCATTTTTCGAATTGCAGTCTTACATTTGATAATGTTAAGATGCGAGTTTGTTTTAGGTCCTCCAATTGCATCTGGTGGGTCGCTTCCCCAGTCGCACTCCCATCCAGGAAATCTGAGGCAGAATTCGCAAACTGAACTGCCCCGTGGATCTGGACCAGCCAGTAGAGTTAACATAGCATCTACGAGTGGTCAGCTGAATGGCACTGAGATCGGGATGAGTTCGTTCAATCCGGCCGCTTTTCTCAGCGAGAACTACCGCAGAGCAGCCGAACACCACCTAAGAGGCAAAGGTGGGTTGGGCAACTACTGTTAGATCGATTCTCAACAGTTTGAACACGACTCATATAAATTAATCCGCGGTGGATCGGTGTTTCTAGAATCATTGAATCTGAAAACGGTTACTTTCAAATTTGTTTCTATGCCTGATTATTTTTTCATATTGTATGATTGGATGCAATTAGAGTACATATAAAATATTCTCAAAATAACTGAGAAAGTTTTGATTTCCTTGATGTTTTCATTTCTAGTCAGACAATACAGAGCGAGAGGGGGAAAGAGTATGCCTCTTAAAAGACGAAGAGTCAACAGCAGCGTTGGTTTGGCGTCAACTTCATCGGTCCAACAATGCCCAGTTGAGGAGAGCGTCAGATCAACTACGCCTCCCTATGTCGCTTCTGTATCATCGTCAGTATCCGCTCCTTCCGCAGTTTCTCCTCAGAACAGGAGTCCCTCTATCAGAGGAAGAGTTTCCAGGTCGCCGATGAAGGTACCCGGAACCCCACCGTCAGTGGCTGGGAGTAGTAGTCAACCTAGGAAGTTGCCTAAAAGTGGTCCAAAGACTCAGGTACCTGTTTTATTTTATCGAGATTTAGCTCCTGGATTGTCCTGAGTGTTAGGTTGAATCAGCGAGTAGTTTATGAAACTATCCTAGTGAGATATCCAGGCAAACATTTGTGAAGCTTTAATTTTCCTTGGAAAGTTGAGTCTTAGTTAATTTTTCATTTTCCCCTTCAGGTTAACTTGGTCAGTGACGACGAAGATTTTGAGATCCAGGAGATAGGAGCGCCGCGCGACAAAACTACCCCAGACGGATCAAGCTATAGCAGACAGCAATCATCAGTGACATCAATGCCATCACAAATGTCGCATATCCAGAATACACCCACTAAAACTGAGAGGATTCTCCATCAATCGATTAATCTACTAGGTGATCATCCAGCGAGACGGGTGGTGAAACTACCATCCAGTGGAGACGAATTACAGCAATCTTTGCATGACGTCGCAACATCAGAAGGATCGAGATTTCCTCCTGTCGACTCCGTTGAAGAAGAACTGACGTTGGAATCATTTGGAGGAGTAGGTTTATCGGGGTTGAAGTCAGAAGCAGAAACTGCCGGGTTAAGCAGTGGGTTACCTTCAAGTGTCGCAAACAGTAGCGGAGCAGATACTTTATATCTTCAGAGTCACATCGAGAATTTGGCCAGTCACCTTACTGGCTCGCTTGAAGAGCCATGGGATAGTCACTTGACGCCATTTACAATAGAGGTCAGCAGAGATGATTAACGAAGACACTCATTTAGGTTGTGTGGTTTTACTTCCAGGAAAAACTTGAAATTTGTTCTTGCTCGAGTTTGATTTTTTGAAAATTCATTTGCTAAGAAGGAGGCTAAATTACTCTCTCCAAAATGATAAGGGCAATTTGCGTCACATTTTGTGAGTGACTTGTTCCAAAAGTGAATTTTACTTTTGAGATCTCTAGACGCAATAAAAAATATATCTATTCACTATTGATTCAGTTGATCAAATTGGTTTGTTTTATCAAATTGGTTTGTTTTTATTCGAAATTCGAAAGTAAGTAAATTCGATTTTCTCAAAGAGCAAGTCAGTATTTTTTTTTCTGTTGCTTGCGTTGATTGACTCTTTTCCAACTTTCTGTTGGCCATGTTCTTTAAGAATCTATATGCTTTAATGGGACCAATATACATGCAGTTTTTTTGTTAGTTTTCTGTGCTGGAAAATGTTGCCTCGCCCTCAAGCAACGAGCACGGATCATGCTGGGTCTCGGACATCTAACCGATTAAGACGCGGAGACGTAACCACTTCACCACGCTCCCGAAGCTTAGAAAAGTTTAGAAAAAAAGTTACAATAATATTGGAAAATGAACTTCATAAGATTTTCCAGCGTTTTGTTTTTTTCATTTTTGAGTGATTTTGTTTCACCTTTTAGGAAAGATCAGAAGTGAAGTTAAATGGTGTAGCAATCGATATGTTAATCAATCAGTGGTCGGAAGTTACCTTTTGCAAATGTTAAAAATAAATAAGGGCGGCGTAAAAATAGCGCACATTTTTCATTCGAAAAACTGATTGGAAAGGAATAATCGGGGAAATCATATGGGAGTGTTGAACGCTCCATAGTAGTCTTGAACCTGGTTCACCATTTTTGTTACGAGACTGCGATAGCTTGTAACTCAAATCAATGGCCCATTGAAATACTAAATGGGCTATCAATTGAACTACAATTGACCAATAAATGGTGCTGAACTATCGAAACGAACGGCCTTAAAACTACTAGTTTTAAAGTGAGGTTTTTACTTTTTTAGAATTCAGCTAATAATCAACGAAACTCAAGAAGTGCGGAGTCAATCACTCAAAACATCCGTCAAGGTAATTATTAAAAGTTTGAAATATGTATCAAAGGGAATACATGATCAATGCTTGGCGGCTCAGAAAAGTCAACTTTTCTTCTTGTACTCGTCTTTCTTCCTTCAAAAGTTCTGTTTTTAGATATTGCATCAAACGATACATCTCCAATTGGACTACAAGGGTCGCGTTTTAAGACTCCACCTCTACCACAATCACAACTTGAAGTTGTATCACTTGACAGTAGCCACACCAGTGCGTCTATTGGATCGGAAAATTTCGAAGTGACGTCATCGGTAAAAGATGTTGTGACATCATCAGAAAGTATCACAATGACGCCATCGGGAAGTGATGTTGTGACGTCATCAGGAAGAGTTGTGACAGAGAGGGAGTTGGTTAGTTGTGAGCTGTGTGAGTACCAGACGCCGTCTCTGAAAAGATTGAGGCTGCACTACACACATGTCCACAAACTCAGTTGAATCCAACTAGCAAAGTCGCGATACTATTCGCTTCCTAATTTAATTCTGTCTAGTCTAATTTAATTCTATATTATAAATACTTATCCATGAAATTGCAAAAACTTCAGTAGCGAGCAAATTTTGCACATTTTTCAATTGTTTTTCTTTTAGGCGCTTGTTTCTTTGGCTCGGGTGTTTTTTTAAATATGACAAGTAAGCGTCAAAGTTTATGATTAAATTTTAAGCCTACTAATAAAGAAAATATGCTTGCTCGTTTAGAGGAAAGTTTTAAGGCAAATTAAGCTCTTCAATGGCAAAATTGCAAATGGCGCGAAAATTTTTTTGATGACTTTTATCTTTGAACGTAGTTGTGAGTTGTCCAGCTGCTTAAAAAACAAATTACTAAACCCAGTTTTCTCAAATTTGGTTGGTTTTTATCTCGGAAGTGTCAATCATAAACGATTCTAGAAATCCAAAGACTTTCAAGGTTTTCTTGTTTATTGATTCTTTCTAACTGTCAGCTGGCTAACTGTCATCTTTTTTGTATGTACTCCGGTATGTACCGTTTTGTACGCTGGTCAAAAAGTTCTCTGATTCTTTCGGAAATCGTCCGATTTGGGTGATTTTTGTGCTTTCTATTTAAATGGCTTTAATTTATAAGTAACACCATCAAAGTATATTTTTTGAGTGTACTGACCGCTTTAATTGTTGTAATCGTGAAGGACAATGAAATCAAATTTTGAGACTCTTACGCAAAGCCACTTTTTTCGATATTATTGCATATGGCTTCACATAATTAAGTATTTTTTTTGATAAAATAGATTTTCGTACGTTAAAAAAGTGTTAAGAACCATGTTTTGTAAACGAAATTGGATAATATTAGCAGTTTTGACGAATACTTTTCTTAATCAGTTGTTTGACCATTTCTTTGACCAGCTAGTACAAAATTCTGTGATTTTTTGTTAGCACATGAATCAACTGCCGAAGTTTGAAGTCGAAGACTGAATATACTTTTGCGATACTGCTAAAATATATGAAAACAGTTAACAAGTTCATGAGGACATTTTAGCAGTATCGCAAAGATTTATTCAAAGAACTTGTTAATTATGTTTTTATTTTATCATATAATTGTTAAGAAAGTTGCAAATTTGAAAGGTGCATTTTGTTCCATATTTTTCTTGAATAGTTTTAGCTGCCTCTTTTTACTCTTTTTTTTTGTAAAGGGAATTAGCATATATTGGAAATATCTCTCATCGCTTTTTTAACAACGAAAAATTACGACGATGCAAGTCACATGACAAGCGATTTCAACACCACATTTCCCTGCTCTCCACCCACATTTCGACATGAGAGGATATGATAAAAACTGGTTTTTCTTAAACTTAATTGGAGTTGAAATAATTATTTGAGCTAAAAATCAAATTTTAATTGAAAAAACTAATATAAAACATTTATTTAATCAACATTTTGTGAAATGTTTTGTGAGAATGAAATGTATTTATTATAAAGAATGATTTTTTAAGTTAAAAACGCTGAAACATGTATTCATGGTTCAAATTGACTGAATAAAAAAACCACACCAAGCATAATTGTGCCTCACTTTCTTCAACATTGAAGACACAGAGCTTAAGTCACGGGGTATGAATGTTGCAACCTTTAGTTTTCAAACGGTTAATTGAACGAATTTTTTTTTCACGTTTCTGCTGTTTTTTCTTCAACTACTGGGGACACAGATTTAGTTTTGACATACGGTGAATGAAACTGCTCATTAAAATATAGAAAGATAAGAAACCGTAAAAAAAAATTTCAAGACGTTGTTGGGCCATTTAACTAGAGAGCGTTAGAGAGATGGTCCTAATTCCAAAAGTTCCCCGTAAACAGTGTTTAAAAGCTTAGTCAAATTTTTAGTTCTTTCATATCTGATTTGAAACCTATATAAGGGCCTAGTTTAGATGCTTAGCTTTTCAATGAATTCATTTATGTTCAAACTTTCAAACTTCTTTTACTGTTAACGGAGAATTTTTGACACTAAGAACATCTCTTCAACGCCCTCTAGTCAAATGGCCCTACAACGCCTTGAAAATATTTTTTACGGTTTTTTACCCTGCTATATTCTAATGATCAGTTTCATTCATCCTATGTCAAAATTTGAACTATAAGTCTATAATAGTTGAAGAGAAAACGGCAGAAATATGGGAGAAATTTTCATTCAAATTTTCCTTTACTTGCTTGAAAACTAGTTACAACTTTTATATTCCGTGACAGTACATTGAAAAGAATTATTTATTGGTTAAATGGTGTAATCAGCGCAATCAAAATGAGAAAACATGCAAAAAATTAAAGGCAGTTAATAAAGCGAGAAATGATTTCAGATCACAGTTGTTGATGTGATTTCAAAATGAGTGAGAATCGCCAGTCAAATGTAATTACTGAGGGTCAGGCCCAAATTACAGGACAGTCAGACGCGACTGTGTTCTACAATCCCGTGCAGGAGTTCAACCGAGACCTCAGTATCGCGTTGATCAAAACATACCGTGAATCACTGCAGAAGGAAAGCTATGAGCATCTAAATAGTATTTGAAAAAAAATTCAACCAAGATGGTTAAATGATTATTGCTACGGGGCCACTTGACTTTAGTAGTCTGGTTATCTTTTTGCATCTAATGTGGTTCCTAATGCTATGCCTGTTTCGAGCTGAAATGGTAAAAAATTTTTCAGAAATTGATTTATTTTCGTCGGCTTTATTGCCGTGTGTTTTATTTGCACTTGCGAAGCGTAGTTTCCTATTACTGTATCCACTTTTTTCCAACCTAAGTCGCAAATAAAGGTGCTCATTTTTTGGTGGCACCTTGACATTTTCGTATCTGGTTAACTTTTGCTCCATATCATTATATTTTGCATCTGGTTTGTTGGTGGCTAGTTTCTGTTTGATAAAAAAACAGGTATTATGAAAATGTATGTGGTTTGGGTTTTTTCGTAGTTTTTGAGTCGCTTATGACGTTTTTTTTTTCACTTTTCGCAAAACTTAGTTTTTTCTCGAGACCTACATTCCTGATTTTGAAAAATGGTAGAAATAGAGAGACAGGCAAATTAAGCTCTTCAATAGCAAAAATGCAAATGGCACGAAAATTTTTTTTGATGACTTTTATCTTTGAACGTGGTTGTGAGTTGTCCAGCTGCTTAAAAAACAAAACACAAAACCCAGTTTTCTCAAATTTTGTTGGTTTTTATCTCGGATTTCTAGAATCCAAAGACTTTCAAGGTTTTCTTGTTTATTGATTCTTGCTAACTGTCAGCTGGGTAACTTAACTTTTTTGTATGTACTCCGGTATGTACCGTTTTGTACGCTGGTCAAAAAGTTCTCTGATTTTTTCGGCAATCGTCCGATTTTGGGCGATTTTTGTGCTTTTTATTTAAATGGCTTTAATTTATAAGTAACACCATCAAAGTATATTTTTTGAGTGTACTGACCGCTTTAATTGTTGGAATCAAGAAAGACAAGGAAATCAAATTTTGAGACTCTTACGCAAAGCCACTTTTTTCGATATTATTGCATATGGCTGCACATAATCAAAGATTTTTTTTGATAAAATAGATTTTTTTACGATAAAAAAGTGATAAGAACCATGTTTTGTAAACGAAATTGGATAATATTAGCAGTTTTGACGAATACTTTTCTTAATCAGTTGTTTGACCATTTCTTTGACCAGCTAGTACAAAATTCTGTGATTTTTTGTTAGCACATGAATCAACTGCCGAAGTTTGAAGTCGAAGACTGAATATACTTTTGCGATACTGCTAAAATATATGAAAACAGTTAACAAGTTCATGAGGACATTTCAGCAGTATCGCAAAGGTTTATTCAAAGAACTTGTTCATTATGTTTTTATTTTATCATATAATTGTTATGAAAGTTGCAAATTTGAAAGGTGCATTTTGTTCCATATTTTTCCTGAATAGGTTTTGCTGCCTCTTTTAACTCGTTTTTGTAAAATTAAATAGCATGAGCGCCACTAGGCTTTTTTTTGCTCATTTAGATTGTTTATTGGAAATATCTCTCATCGCTTTTTAACAACGAAAAAATACAACGATGCAAGTCACATGACAAGCAATTTCAACACCACAATTCCCTGCTCTCCATCCACATTTCGACATGAGAGGATATGATAAAAACTAGTTTTTCTTAAATTTAATTGGAGTTGAAATAATTATTTGAGCTAAAAATCAAATTTTAATTGAAAAAACTGATATAAAACATTTTTTTTAATCAACATTTTGTGAAATGTTTTGTGAGAATGAAATGTATTTATTATATAGAATGATTTTTTAAGTTAAAAACGCTGAAACATGTATTCAATGGTGTATCATTTTGGGAAAATATTTAACAGTTGATCTGTGAAGAGCATAGTATTGGTCTTGTGGTCGTAAGTTATAACGCTTCATAATAAAAGCAAGACTACTGGAATATCAGGGCAAAGTCCTGGTTGTTTCGACTGCACTTAAGGATAATTGAAAAAAAAATCATTTTTCTTCATTTTATCCACCCACACGATCTGTAAAATACTAGGGGTGTGTTAAGTGTCTCGTATTGTGATAATAGTATTCTATTGCTGGCTTCAGTTCAATTTGGAACGCATTAGTTCGCTTTTTACACGTGTTATAAGCACGCAATATATCGCACTTTAGTTATCCCTAATTGGCCAAATTAGCCAAGTAACGCCCGTAACTTTTTGAAAAATGATCACAGGTGAAATAACGTTTTAAATTTGAGCTTAGGATGACAAGATTTCCCAAATGGTATTTAAAAAAGCCGTTAAAAACGCTTATTTAACAAGTCAAAAATCTACTGAATAAAAAAACCACACGAAGCATAATTGTGCTTCACTTTCTTCAGCATTGAAGACACAGAGCTTAAGTCACGGGATGAATGTTGCAGCCTTTGGTTTTCAAACGGTTAATTGAACGAAATTTTTTTTCTTTTTTCTGCCGTTTTTTCTTCAACTACTGGAGACAGCTTTAGTTTTGACATACGGTGAATGAAACTGCTCATTAAAATATAGAAGGATAAGAAACCGTAAAAAAAAATTCAAGACGTTGTTGGGCCATTTAACTAGAGAGCGTTAGAGAGATGGTCCTAATTCCAAAAGTTCCCCGTAAACAGTGTTTAAAAGCTTAGTCAAATTTTTAGTTCTTTCATATCTGATTTGAAACCTATATAAGGGCCTAGTTTAGATGCTTAGCTTTTCAACGAATTCATTTATGTTCAAAATTTCAAACTTCTTTTGCTGTTAACGGAGAATTTTTGACACTAAGAACATCTCTTCAACGCCTTCTGGTCAAATGGCCCATCAACGCCTTGAAAATATTTTTTACGGTTTATTACCCTGCTATATTCTGATGATCAGTTTCATTCATCCTACGTCAAAATTTGAACTATGGGTCTCAAGTAGTTGAAGAGAAAACGGCAGAAATATGGAGAAATTTTCATTCAATTACTTGCTTGAAAACTAGATACAACTTCTAAATTCCGTGACAGTACATTGAAAAGAATTATTTAATGGTTAAATGGTGTAATCAGCGCACCCAAAATAAGAAAACATGCTAAAAATTAAAGGCAGTTAATAAAGCGAGAAATGATTTCAGATCAAAGTTGTTGTTGATGTGATTTCAAAATGAGTGAGAATCGCCAGTCAAATGTAATTACTGAGGGCCAGGCCCAAATTACAGGACAGTCAGACGCCACTGTGTTCTACAATCCCGTGCAGGAGTTCAACCGAGACCTCAGTATCGCGTTGATCAAAACATACAGCGAATCACTGCAGAAGGAAAACTATGAGCATTTAAATAGTAATAAAAAAATATTTTCAATCAAGTTGGTTAAATGATTATTGCTACGGGGCACTGAAATTTTCCCGGAAACCATTTCATTTGCAGGATGACTGAAATTGGGGTAATCTTCAGCTTTAGTAGTCTGGTAATCTTTTTGCATCTAAATATGGTTCTTAATGCTGTGGCAGTTTCGAGCTGAAATGGTAACAAATCTTTTCAGAAATAAAATGATTTTTTTTTCGGCTTTCTTGCCGTGTGTTTCTTTTGCACTTACGGAGCGTAGTTTAATATTAATGTATCCACTGTTTTTTTAACCTACGTCGCAAATAAAGGTGCTCATTATTTGGTGGCTTCTTTGCGTTTTTGTCTCTGTTTAACTTTTGCTCCATAGCATTATATTTTGTATCTGCTTTGTTGGTGGCTGTTTGCCCTTACTAGAACTTTCGAAGGTCGTAGAACGTCTAATAAAGTAAAAGCGACTAGCGGAATATCCAGGCACACAATTTGTACCATTTTCAAAATCAGGAATATAGGTCTCGAGAAAAACTACAAGTTTTGCGGAAAGTGGAAAAAAAACGAAAAAAACGTCATAAGAGTCTCAAAAACTACCGAAAACCCAAACCACATACATTTTCATAATACCTTAGTTTTTGAGACGCTTATGACGTTTTCTCGAGACCTATATTCCTGATTTTGAAAAATGGTACAAATCGAGAGACAGGCAACACTCTTGTGTGCCTGGATATTCCGCTAGTCTCTTTTACTTCATTAGACGTTCTACGACCTTCGAAAGGTCTACTAAGGGAATTTTTGACCCCTTTCTGGATTATTTGTCTCGAAAACTACTCTGCCACTTTTAAAATTAAGGCCACTTTTAAAATTAGGGATTCAGTATAATATGTGCGCTAGAAAGTTTCCCTTCATAGCGGCTACACCCTATTTTTTGTAGAATACCAATGTTCGATGCAGCAAAATTTTGTTTGTTTGGAATTTTGTTAAATTTCTCGAAAACTACGGTGCCAGGTCTGATATTGGGGTTCAATTGAAAGAACAAACTAAGGATATCCCTTCAGAAGCGTACTTCTCCAATTTTGGCAAGGATTCCGCTATGGGCAAAAGAAATATTTGACCGTTTGAACCCCTTTTGGACTCACTCATTTTCCCAAAAACGACCGTGCCAATTCTGAAACAGAAATTAATCTCCCCAGCAAGAGCGCGTTCTCCATATTTTTGATATGAATCAGCTATGGACTTAGTAAATGTTCAATTGTTGACATTTTGACACATTTCAAATTTGCGCATTAGTGCATGTTTTAAAATCATTATCAAACAGGTACCTTCAGCTTTAGCGCCCTCGGTGCAGATTTAGCGTCCATGGCGCAGATGCTAAGATGCGAGACTTTCAACCTCCAGGTCATGGGTGCGACTGCAGTGTATAGCAGAATTGTAATTAGTTTTTTTTTGCTTTCCTTTTTTTTTTTTACTTTTTGACCCTTTTAGAGCGACTTTTTGCCTTCTTCGCTTTTGTGTTTGCAAAGGGCAGCTTCGCCTTTTTACTGACTATGCTTTTCAAAAGTTTTATTTATTTTTTCATTTGAAATATAAGCACCGTTTCTTAATTTCCTTATTTTGATTTTTCTATTAAAACTTTTTGTAAATTGGTTCAAGGCAACCGCACATCGAATTTTTGAAATATTGAAAAATCAAAAAATTTGTTTAAAAAATAGTGATATCAAATTGTAACATACTTTCTTCAGAGTCGATGAACGGAGTGAAGACTTTTATATAGGTCATGATGAATTTTTTGTTTCAAGGAAAAGTCTCAAACTTTATTCACGCTCAATTTTAATTTTTCGTGGTTTGACTTTTGATTTCTTTTTGATTAAGTTCATTTCCTTTGTTAAAGGAAGGTGAATTCGACTATCGAACATCGAAAGTAGGAGGTCATAAAAAACGTGATCGACTTCTACTTTCGAAAGTAGACTTAAGTTTTCAGATTTCCCAGCTGAATAAGAACTTTACATTTTGATCCAGTGTTCCAAAATGGAGTTAGTTTTTATCAAAACAGTGCCAGTCATAATTTGTAGAAATTGAAGTAGTTTTAAGCCATCTAGTTTTTTTCTTTGAAATTCCAAAATCAATTCAAAAATTCAGTTAAATTAAGTTCAGTTATATTTCAAAAAATAAAACAGTATATTTAAAATGTTTTCTTGCGTTCCTTGACTCTTTTCTAACTGTCTTTTGGTTATTTTTAGGTTTACACTTTCCTTTTTGTCTGTTTCATTAATTATCTGCCATGCTTTGTTTGTTTTTAGCGCAATTAGTGCAACGATCCGTTTTACCTCTTTTAGAAGCTCAAAACAGGCGACCCAAATGCTATTGACAATTAGAATTAACTTAAAACAACAGTGGACATAGAAGCTTCTAGAATTGTACAAACTTCGGTAGGATGTTTTTTTGAAAGACTTAAAATGTAATATCAACTCTGAAATATGTCAACATGGGGGTGTGTTTTCTTATGGAATTGTGATTATTTTCAAGATAAAGAGCAGGGTAAGATGTAGAATTTGTGCGGCATGGGCGGAGAGGATTTTATCTAATTCCTGTATAAGCTGAGGGAAGTCTCCTTTGAAAACGCTGAGAAGACGATATGGTGGCGAGAAATGTTCCTGCGGCGAGTGTAGCGTAGCGTCTTCCTGAAAATAGTTCCACCTCGCCCTCTCCAATTTATTACTGTTTACGATTTAACTTTTAACGTAGTTTTTAGTTCATTTGGTTGAAAAAAGTTAATGTTAAATGCTCATTGCTACTCAAGGATGAAAAACTCTGCATCTTTGAGGGCCTGTCAGCCACAGGTCTGCGGTCTATTCGATACGCCAAAGAACTATCCAGCGTGTCCCAGATATACGCGAATGACTTGGACAAAGTGGCTTTTGGATGTATCAGAGACAACATAGAGAGAAATGGAGTGGGTGCTCTAGTGCAGCCGCTGCTCGGGGACTGCAATGCCAACTTATGTAAGGTCTGTTTCAAGTTAGCTTACCCCACCAGAGATACCTTTCTATGAACCGTTTTTTGCCTAGGTTGGATATTGAGTCGCTTATAACGTGTTTCGCGGAGTTGGAAATTCGGTGTTCCTCAACCAAGATTGGGCCAAAGTTTTCGCGAGATAATTAAATTGCTTTTTGGGCACTACTTTCATGGATTTCATCCACAAATCTGTTGTATGATCATTTCAATTTTTCTACATATTGGCCCGTTCGGAAAACCGTTTTGGTGACAGCCCTCTTCTTTAATTTCTTCTTTTTTTAATAACGATATGCTCTTACCGTTGTGGGACTCCCGTGGATGGAAACCACTCATTGAATACCGTTGCTGCTTCAGCTGGTGTCAGAAGGCACTCGGCCGAACGTGGTGGACGTTGACCCTTTCGGATCCCCTGCCATCTTCATAGACACTGCAGTGAGGATGGTGTCTGAAGGAGGTCTCTTACTGGTGACTGCCACTGACTTGGCCGTGTTGTGTGGCCAGGTGCCAGAGAAGAGCTACTCACTCTATGGCTCACTCTCTGTCAAGACGCCATGCATGCACGAAAACGCACTCAGGTTTGTTGCAGTTCGTATGTGCTTTACTTATATGATTAAAATAATTGTACTTGTATATAAACATATAATAAAAATACTTGTAATTGTGTATAAAAATTAATCGAAATACGCGTTTGAAACTGGTTCTAATCAATAGTAGCAGAGTTTGAGAACTGCAATAAATATAAATGTCCTTTTTTACGTGAGCGTCAGCGTAGTGTATTATATCGAACCTTCTTTTTTCTAACCTAACTCGCAAGTAAAAGTGTTCATTAAAAGTGTTCGCTTATTTGGATATTTCACAGAAGCATTGGAAGTTGCATAGTATTTGTTCTCTGCTTTTTTGTGGCTAGTGTTTGTTTTCTATTAAGCGTACTGAATATTTTGTGTGTGAGGCTCATAATCTCTAGGTCGCAGTTTCGGATTCGAGAAGTAGTCGAATTTTAACTAATTCGAGGCTTATTTCTAGTTTTTTTTTGCAATATAGAGCTCTTTTTTGTCGTGTTCCTGCTAGTGTTTGCGAAGCGAAGCTTCACCTCTGTGTTTATAATTTAAATACTAACGAGCCACAAAGTATGAAGAGTCAATGTCAGTATGGTCATTTTTCCTAAGATTGATGACAGACAGAGGTTGCGTTCAGTATTTTGTATCTCTGTTTCAAACTGGGTTCATTTTGATGTTCTTATCTAGAATCCTACTGTACTGCATGAGTAGACAGGCGGCCATGCATGGGAGATACATCATCCCCCAACTGTCCTTCTTCAAAGACTTCTACATCCGAGTGGCAGTCACAGTACACACTAAGGCATTTCTAGTCAAAGATGTCTGTCTAAAACACAGGTATGGCCAAGCAATTTAAATCAATAATTAAGTCTTATTTTAAACCAAGTTGGAAAGATAATGAATATAAAAAATTTTTTTCGCATAATTGCGTTTGATGCACAGCAACAAAAAGCGAATAAAATGCAGAGACTGGTATAAGTAAACATTTATTTGCGAAGTGCAGCTTAGCCTCTGTTTAGAAAATTGTTATGATTATTGATATGTATGCTCTGGTTTTGGTTGAAAAGATATGTCTCAAAATAGACAATTTTGTGAGAAAAACTTTTAAATTTGGGTTTAAATCCATTTCTGTTGTACCACAGTGTAGTCAACTACTGCAGCCAGTGTACTGACTTCATTCTGAATCCACTGGCTTTGAAGAGTGGACCTTCGAAGTATGTCCACGCCACAGTGCGGGGAGGCCAGAAGTGCAAACAGTGTGAAAGTGGTAAGAAGAGACTTGTGTGGCTATTAAGACTCCTTTTAGAAATTGAGGGATCAAACTTTAAATAAATAATTTTATCAGAATTGTTTCGAAAAACTTTCTTGCATGAGTGGCTGCGCCCAATTTGTTTAAAAAGTTTATGGCCCTTGAATAGTCAAGTTTTGATTTTTTACCGTTTTGTGAATCTTTTCGACTTTTCTTGAAAACTAAATTTTCAAATCTGATATTATGGGCTTAATGGAGTACTGGGTAGTGGGAAGCTATTCTGCATTAGCGGACACTCACAAAACTTGTACACAAGAAGTTATTGCCCTCGGAAAAGTCAAAGTTTTGATTTTTTGACCATTTCTTTTGAAAGTTTTGAGATTTCACGAAAATTACCTTTTCAAATCTGAGATTTTGGGCCCAATCGAAAAAACAGGTTGCGTGAATCCATTCTGCATAGGCGGCTACGCATAATTTTTTCCTACAAAAAGCTATGGTTTTGGGAAAGGTCAAACCATTGATTTGCTGACCGTTTTTTTGGACTTTTATGATAATAAAAACTCAATATTTCTCGCAATATTTTGAAATGCATTATTTATACATAATGTGGCTTTATGCTTTGCGATTTGTTACCTGCGAAGTTATTGTGGAAGTCTTCAGTTTGTAATATTCCAAGTTAATAATTTTAAAATTGGGTCTAATTGTATTTGGTGCTGAATCGCATTGGCAATTTGTTAGCATATTTAGCTGCTACTATACCGATTTTTTTAAAAAAACCTGGCACCAATAGAAAGACCGGCTGCTCTTCTTCTTTCATGTTTTTGCAAACGATTATGTCCTATGGCCTTAGAAAATGTCTAAATTTTGAAACTTTGCCCGTTTTTTGGAAACTTTTTCTTTAAAACCTTACCTGCTAATTCGCAGGTTAGGTTTTGAAGACAAAAAGAGTTTTCAAAAAACGGGCAAAGTTTCAAAAAATGATAATTCATTAAAATTGACATGGTATTTGGATTTTCTCTGCGTAATCTGTTTCACCCTATTTTTTTCTAGAAAAGCCGAAATGGACTTCGAAAAAGTTCCTTTTTAATTTTTACCCTTTTTAAGAAATTTCGTCACCCTTCTCGAAAATTACAAGCTAAATCGGATACTAAGGGTTCAATCTAAAAATCTAAAACATCAGGGCGAGCAAGTGTTCAATTGGAAAATCAGGGTGCGGAAATTGGAGGCTAATCCTATGCTTAATTAGAGAAAAAATTATGCACTCAGGTTTGTTGCTGTTCGTATGTGCTTGTAAATACTTGTACTTGTATATAAACATATAATAAAAATACTTGTAATTGTGTATAAAAATTAATCGAAATACGCGTTTGAAACTGGTTCTAATCATAAGTAGCAGAGTTTGAGAACTGCAATAAATATTGATGTGCTTTTTTACTTAAGCGTCAGCGTAGTCTATTATTAAGAGCCTTCCTTTTTTCTAACCTAACTCGCAAGTAAAAGTGTTCACTTATTTGGAAATTTTACTGTAGCATTGGAAGTTGCAGAGTATTTGTTCTCTGCTTTTTTTGTGGCTAGTGTTTGTTTTCTATTAAGCGTACTGAGTATTTGTGTGTGAGTCTCATAATCTCTAGGTCGCAGTTTCGAATTCGAGAAGTAGCCGAATTTTAACTAATTCGAGGCTTATTTCTAGTTGTTCTTTTTGCAGTATAGAGCTGTTTTTTGTCGTGTTCCTGCTAGTGTTTGCGAAGCAAAGCTTCGCCTCTGTGTTTATAATTTAAAGACTAACGAGCCACAAGTTTTTTGAAATTAAAGAGTCAATGTCAGTACGGTCATTTAGCTTTTTACTCTTAAAGATTAATAACAGAGGTTGCGTTCAGTATTTTGTATCTCTGTGTTTCAAACTGTGTTCATTTTGATGTTCTTATCTAGGATCCTACTGTACTGCATGAGTAGACAGGCGGCCATGCATGGGAGATACATCATCCCCCAACTGTCCTTCTTCAAAGACTTCTACATCCGAGTGGCAGTCACAGTACACACTAAGGCTTTTCTAGTCAAAGACGTCTGTCTAAAACACAGGTATGGCCAAGCAATTTAAATCAATAATTAAGTCTTATTTTAAACCAAGTTGGAAAGATAATGAATATAAAAATTTTTTTTCGCATAATTGCGTTTGATGCACAGCAACAAAAAGCTAATAAAATGCAGAGACTGGTATAAGTAAACATTTATTTGCGAAGTGCAGCTTAGCCTCTGTTTAGAAAATAGTTATGATTATTGATATGTATGCTCTGGTTTTGGTTGAAAAGATATGTCTCAAAATAGACAATTTTGTGAGAAAAACTTTTAAGTTTGGGTTTAAATCCATTTCTGTTGTACCACAGTGTAGTCAACTACTGCAGCCAGTGTACTGACTTCATTCTGAATCCACTGGCTTTGAAGAGTGGACCTTCGAAGTATGTCCACGCCACAGTGCGGGGAGGCCAGAAGTGCAAACAGTGTGAAAGTGGTAAGAAGAGACTTGTGTGGCTATTTAAGACTCCTTTTAGAAATTGAGGGATCAAACTTTAAATAAATAATTTTATCAGAATTGTTTCGAAAAACTTCCTTGCATGAGTGGCTGCGCCCAATTTGTTTAAAAAGTTTATGGCCCTTGAATAGTCAAGTTTTGATTTTTTACCGTTTTGTGAATCTTTTCGACTTTTCTTGAAAACTAAATTTTCAAATCTGATATTATGGGCTTAATGGAGTACTGGGTAGTGGGAAGCTATTCTGCATTAGCGGACACTCACAAAACTTGTACACAAGAAGTTATTGCCCTCGGAAAAGTCAAAGTTTTGATTTTTTGACCATTTCTTTTGAAAGTTTTGAGATTTCACGAAAATTACCTTTTCAAATCTGAGATTTTGGGCCCAATCGAAAAAACAGGTTGCGTGAATCCATTCTGCATAGGCGGCCACGCATAATTTTTTCCTACAAAAAGCTATGGTTTTGGGAAAGGTCAAACCATTGATTTGCTGACCGTTTTTTTGGACTTTTGTGATAATAAAAACTCAATATTTCTCGCAATATTTTGAAATGCATTATTTATACATAATGTGGCTTTATGCTTTGCGATTTGTTACCTGCGAAGTTATTGTGGAAGTCTTCAGTTTGTAATATTCCAAGTTAATAATTTTAAAATTGGGTCTATTTGTATTTGGTGCTGAATCGCATTGGCAATTTGTTAGCATATTTAGCTGCTACTATACCGATTTTTTAAAAAAACCTGGCACCAATAGAAAGACCGGCTGCTCTTCTTCTTTCATGTTTTTGCAAACGATTATGTCCTATGGCCTTAGAAAATGTCTAAATTTTGAAACTTTGCCCGTTTTTTGGAAACTTTTTCTTTAAAACCTTACCTGCTAATTCGCAGGTTAGGTTTTGAAGACAAAAAGAGTTTTCAAAAAACGGGCAAAGTTTCAAAAAATGATAATTCATTAAAATTGACATGGTATTTGGATTTTCTCTGCGTAGTCTGTTTCACCCTATTTTTTTCTAGAAAAGCCGAAATGGACTTCGAAAAAGTTCCTTTTTAATTTTTACCCTTTTTAAGAAATTTCGTCACCCTTCTCGAAAATTACAAGCTAAATCGGATACTAAAGGTTCAATCTAAAAATCTAAAACATCAGGGCGAGCAAGTGTTCAATTGAAAAATCAGGGTGCGGAAATTGGAGGCTAATCCTATGCTTAATTAGAGAAAAAATTATGCTATTAGGAAGTCAAAATATTTTTAATCGATTCTTAACTCTCACTTTTTTAGAAAACTATTTAGCCTAATCTGAGATAAAGAGTTTAATTGAAAGAATGTGTGGTAAATTGCTTCTCTAAATCAGCGGTTAATCCGCTGCCCAAGAAGAAAAACTCTAAAGGTTTAGCTTTAAGTCTAATTCAGGTTATGCTTGCTTTAGTAGAGCAAAGTTTATGGATTTAGGAAAAACCAAATTTTTGATCGATTTTCGGAATCTTTCTCACTTTTTTCAAAAACTGCTCAGCCAAATTTGAGATAAAGAATTCGATTGAAAGGGGGAGTTGTAGTTTTCTCCTTTAAATAAGCGGTTAATCTCCTAATTGAGCAGAGAAAAACTACGGTTTAGAGTAAAGTCCAATTTAAGAAACTTTGAAAGTTAAGCATTTCCGTAACAGTACAGTATAAGATTAAAAACATTAGAACAGGTGGATCGAGCATTGTTTTTACTTCCAAGTGACCGTGGTGAATATACAAGGCCGTGAGACTCCTAATCAACTGGTCGGGTTTTCAAATCCGGAACATTTAAATAGTTTTTTTGGTAGAATTTTTGCTGCTTATTATTGGCAACTTGTTAGAAACTGTGTAGCTGTTTTATTGGTGGATATTCTTATCAAAATTACAAGCGATCTTGGAGCAGATGTGAGAACGTGATACTCCTTATGTCAACAATTTTTTTTGAAAGGTTTATTTTTAATCTTTTCCTTATTTATTGCCTATTTGAAGGTTTTCTGCATTTTTCTTGCTTATGTTTGCAAAGCGCATCTTCGCCTCTGTGTGAAATTTGAGTTGTCAAATCTGAAATGAAAACTTCGTTTAAACTGGTTGCAATGATTAATCCTGCAGAAGCGGCGTCTCTTTGGGTAAATGATTTTCTCAAAATGTTTTACTCTTCTCGATTATTGTAGTAGAGAAACAACTAAGGTTTCCGGCAAAGTCTAACTGTTGAAATCACAATTTTCGTGCCGCAATCAGTATCGCAAACTCATTCAATATCAAACACGTACCTCCAGCTTTAGCTGGGCGTCTAGTTGTTGTTATCGAGATATACGAAGTTTTTGGTTCTCTTAGTTTTTTTTTCAACATCTAAATTGTTTTTTTTTTTTCGATTTGTGCTTTTTATATTTTTGTTGTATTGCAAGTGGTGCGAAGCTCTGCTTCGCCTCTATGTAAAAGTTTGGTTTCAAATCCTGTCCTGGAATTCACTATGCAGAACAGAAAATTGCATGCATTCATTTTCTCAACATATTGATATCAAATGCTGCTAAAATCTGGTTTGAAGATAAGTGTCCTTTCAGCAATGCGGATGGGAGGTCCAATTTGGAATGGACGTCTCCACAACCCAGATTTTGTGACCTCTCTTTTGGGCTTCATTAGAGACGAGGGGTCATCCCGGTTCGGGAGTTGGAAGAAAATACTAGCGACTGTCAGTCTCATTTCGGAGGAGTTGCCGGACTCGCCTCTCTTTTTAACCAAGGAAATGATGTTCAGTGCAGCGAAAGTATCGGGGCCGAAACTGACTCTTGTGTCTAGTGCTATTCTTAATGCAGGCTTCAAGTTCAGGTTAGGTAAAATTGGAATGGAGGGATAAAAAATACACAAGACTAAAAACAATTTTATTATTTTACATTTAGATTATTTGATAAAAAAAAGAGTGAAATGTCCTCAAAAGCTTCAGATGAAACTGAGAAGACATTTAAGTGATGCTGCATTTTGAAACGTCAGCCAATAAGTCGAAACGGGGGACGATTTTTAAGTTTTGTAATGGCAGAAGAAAGAAGAATGGCGATAATTCTTAACGAGCTACTACAAGTTACGCCGATCGGTGTTTTGGAGATTAAAGTTTTACATTTCCTTTGCATTAATATTTTATTTCTTGCCTAATATTAAACTAAAACATAAGCGACAAGCAAAAATTGGAGCGCAATGTATTACTGTGGCCAAATCTAAGCGCAGCGGAGCACTCGTTATCTTTTTACCTATGTTGTCTTTGAAACTACTTCAAGCGATTCGATTTAAAAAAAGAAATTCGATTTGTTGCATGCTACGAATATTCGCCATTTCAAAATTGAGCCTCCTTTTTTAATAGCAAAGCTTAAAGAAAGAAGAATCCAATCCCTGTCGTTTTTTTTTTGATAATTTCATTAATAAATTTATATCTTTTCTAGTGTGTCGCACTGTTCGCCAGTGGCTGTGAAGACAGATGCACCCTCCTCGTTCCTCTGGGACATTGTGAGACAATTTGAGAGAGATCACCCAGTCAACAGGGAGAAGCTGTCCCCCTTTTCAAAGGCACTTCTCGAACAGACCATTACGCACAAGGTATCAAGTCTGCCGTAATTGTTTTATCTCCCTTAATTGAAAAAAGGAAAAGGATAAATTCATTACTAGGTTCAACATTGGTGATGCTTAACCGTCGGACTAATCCTTTGTTGGGGTTGATTTTCATTACTAGATGTCATCAGTTGCAAATTGCTAAATAGACCAGAGTAATCGTTCGGAAAATCCAAAGATTTTAAAATCGTATGTAACAACTAAAAAGCGTTCTAAATACGAAAAAAATAGCAATTAGCATCTAATTTTTTTATCTGATTAAATCTCGACAGTAATTATATTTTGCTGTTAAGCGCCGTTATATTTAACAACATCGAACCAACAAACTTTCGTACGGGGTTGAGTGATGTATCACATTTAAGTTCTTTCAATCGTACATGAATTGCATTTTAAAAGTTCAATTAAAACGGTATCCAAAAAATGGTTTTAACTTAGAAATTTTTCTTGTGTTTGACTATATATTCGACTGACGATTTACAGAAATTGGTCTGATGCAAAGAAAGGAAAACGACATGAATTATAAGAGAGCGTTTTACCTTATTTAACAGTCCACCTGTCACCTAAAACAAAAAGAAAAAAAACTCAAATTGAACGATAGCGGAGTTGTTGTGAGGAAAAAATGTCTGTTTAATAGCTGTCGTCGGACTATGTGCTTCTAGTAAAGTAACCGGCTGCTGTTTTGGCATTTAGCGGCTCTTTTCAATTTTAGATTGATTTCACTCTCCACCCAGCTGCGAATCCTGTGTCCAGGACCTCCAAGGTGACCCGGTTTCCTATTAACCCGCCCAATTGGGGTCCCAAGGCCAGACCGAGACCCCAAAATGCTACTTCTAATTCGGCAGCTGATAGTCACAAAAATGGGTCGACCAGCATGACTGAAATTTCTGAACCGCCTGATAAGAAGCAGAAATGCGAAAAAACTACTTCGGAAGTTGAGGCAAACTGAACTTTAAAATAAGTTTTTCTTTTCTTTTCAGTTTGATACGTGTTTTTGAAATACAGTTTTATTGAAAGGCGTTGGAATATCAATCGGCCATGAATGAGCAGTCAATATCATTTGTTTGTTTGTTTGTTTTTCAGTTTTTGCGAATCCTTAGTGATAATTAAAATACGATGCTTTTTGAATCGGCAAAATTGAGTGCTCTTCTGGTCTAAACTCAGACGCAAATAAAAGACTTAAATACTAAAATTGGCAAGCTTATTTTTCTAGACACTTAGCTTGTTTATTGACTCATTTAGGCTTTCTTTTTATTAGGAACCGGACTGCTTCAGAAGTGGTTTAAGGCACAGATACTTTTGAACTTTAGACATTACAGTCAATTTCAAACACAGAGAAGTCCGCCAAAATTTTGGTTAAAGGGACAAGATCAAATGAAAATTTTAGTTTTTCTGATTTTATTGGAGTCACAAGGATTTCAGCAATACGACAGAAAACTATTATATATGGTATCGTTTGTAGTAACTTCCTTTTTGCAACAGTTTCTCCTTGACTATTGATTGTTTGGGTTTCAATTTTCTGATATTATCACCGCCCATCTGGTGTCTACAGCGCTTTCCGCATTTTTTGCTCATCCTTAAACTACATGACAAATTTGGGGTGGAATGGGTGCTTTATGGACTCAAATTGATTAAAGCTGCCATTCTGTGCCTCCAATACATTTTTCGCTGAGCAACCAAATAAAAATATTGAAATCTGCAACAGCAAGTTTTTGTTTGAGGCTTCGATTTCCTCGAAAGGTACTTATACTTGTCCTCAAACTTTGAAATTTCTCCTAGCGATCTCTCTTGGAGTTCTTCAAAACATTACTGTCAACGAGAGCAACCGTCAAACAAATATAATTTTTTGAGGTTTTTGCGAAACACGTCATCGTTCTTTTACTTGCCCCAAAATCCAAGTTTTTGTATCTTGCGCCATACTGAGGGATTGTTTGAAAGAACATAATTATAATTTTGTATCAGACTACATCTGTTTGTGGGGTTGCATGCAGCGGCTTTTTAAGTCTCTTACTACTACTCGCATTGGTGTGATCAGTCGAAACGTTTTTAATACGTGTCTTGATTTTAATGGGCAGCAGAGAGTTTACCAAGGGCCTAGTGTCGTTTCTATCACAACATATATGGCGTAGGCTTGGTAAAAAAAATCTAGTACCACTGAAAAGAGTCTGTCACAATGACAAGTGTCGGACTGAGAAAGCAAGTCGAAGACAGAAAATGATGCAAAAGCCAATGTTCTGCTGACCAATTTACCAGAGTCATAGTATAAGAACGTATCTTCACTGTGTTTGATTTTGAGAGGTTTGAAAAATCGTTATAGCTCTCAAGATATTTTGGTTTCATTATTGTTCTGAAGCTTGCTGCCTTTTCCGGTTTATACACCAATAATATGTAGCGTTGCTGTATTGTCGACGCTGCAGAGAAAGGAAATTTATTTTGTTTGCTGGAGGCCTGGATGTAACGAATATGCCTGGGGCAGCATAACTCATGATTACGAATCTGGCCAGTTCCTATTTTTTTTAAACTTGAAATATTCTGTTTCAGTTGAAATTGTTTCTGCTTATCTAGTGTCGGCTTAGCTGTCACCTTGGTTGACATGTTGAAATCTTTTTTTTTCAATGCGCTCAATTTTTAGTGTTGCTTTTAGTGTTTAAACTTATAGTTGTACTTAACTTGATTTCTTATTTCCTTTGTTTTTTGTTTCGCTTAAAAAAATATTTGGTGAAAATTATTTTGGCCTGTTTTTTATCGGCCTCATGACCTTAGTTGAGGTCGTTTCAAGGAAACACATTTTAAATACTCCTATCCGCGCTTTTCATGATTGTTGTATGTTTACCAATCGGTTTGTTGAAGTTTCGTTTTTTTTTTTTTTCATTTTGGAAAACTATTTCCAAATTTATGGAAAAGTTTTTTGATTTTCCCAGAAGTTTCTACTGAATTTTAAAATGGGATATCAATTAAAAGACCGTCTGCTCCCCTGTGTGCCTGTATACTCCCCTAGAGTCTATTTTAACTTGACAGTTCTGTCAACAGCCTTCGAAAAAGTCTCTGAGGGAATAGTTGACACATTTTTGATTTTTCATTTGTTTTCTCAAAAAAGTACCACTCTCATTTCTGAGTTTTCGATTTCAATGAATAGAACATTTCAAAAAGCTCCCTCCATGAGCGGCTACGATCAATTTTTTTACACAAAGTTATGGCCTTCGGAGTCAATTTTTTTGAAGTTTTCGAATATTCTCGAAAACTACCCTGCCATGTTTGAGACTTTGGATTAATTTCAAAGAAAGGGTTGTGGTAGGCTTATTTGCTTATGTGACTACTCGCATTTTTTTTGAACACCAAAAGTTTTGGCCTTCGGAAAACTCAAAATTTTGATTTTTAGACGTTTTTTTTTTTAGTTTTTGGCATTTCTCGAGAACTACCCTCCCAAATCTGACATTTTGGGCTCAAACGAAATTACAGGTTGAGTAAATCCCGTCTGCATAAGTGGCTACGACCCAATTTTTCACACAAAAAGCTATGGTTCTCGGAAATGTCAAAGTTTTGATAAGTTGACCGTTTTTTTTTAGTTTTCTCGCTAATTATCTTGCCAAATCTGATATCATAGGTTTACTCGATAAAAGCATAGGTTGTTGAAAGCCTACCTCTATATATGACTGTGCACAACCTGTTAAAAAAATTATGACCTGTTAAAAAATCACACAAAACGAAGTTTTGAAACTTTGACAGTTTGTTGCAAACTTTTGGGCTTTACGCGAAAGTTATGGTGCCTATTCTCAGTTGAGAACAATCGAGAAACCCGATTTTGGTAATCTTCTATGCTAAGCGGCCACAAGATCTTCTTTGCAGGAAAATTTCATGGATTGCGGAAACATTTTTGGCCGTTTTGTAGAAGTTTTTTTACCGTTTATTGAAAATTTTTTGAATTTTCTTAACATTTGCCTAATCAAATTTAAGATGAAAAATTTAATTGACCGAACCGGTTGTGATAATGGTTCCTGCAGAAGCGACGGCTCCTTAATTTTCTGTAAGAGAAAAATTGTTTTCTTCGAAAAATTGTATGTTTCAAAATTGTTTACTCTTCTCACGTATTTTAGTTGAGAATTTTTGTTCACAGGTTTTGAGCTAAGTCGAATTTTTGAAATCAAATTTAGCGTGCTGTATCAGTATAGCAAATTCAAGCAATATAAAAAACATACCTCCAGCTCTAAATTACAAACAACGATGGTCCCAGCTTAAGCTCGATGTATGTGTTTTGTATTGGTTGAGTTTGCTATACTGATACGGCAAAAGTTTTAAATAATGAAAAAAAAAACTAGGTGAACCAGAACTATCGTAGATATGATTAAAAACAACTAGGGGTCCAGCTGGACATACTATAGTTCTGGTTCACCTAGTTTTTTTCAACATTCAAAATTTTTTGACTTATGTTTTTGTTTTTGTTGCATGGCAAGTGGTGTGAAGCTCCGCTGTGTCTGAATTTTAAATTGGCAAAATTTTTGTGACCGAATAGTCTGCACGCGCAGTTGAAATAGTAGTGGAAAAATTTTGGTAAAATTCTTTTGTTTGACCCAATACACTAGAGCGGCTCGCAGTTTTGTCATACCTTCGAACCTGTAAGTTTTTTGGAAATTTCAAAGCCTACAAGCTGCTCGAGTTGCTATTTAGTTGCACTCGTGTTGAAATCAGTGTTAGATTGCGACGCAATTTCTATAATTTTTTTCTATCGACATCTGGAAGTTGTTTTCTCAGATTTACAGAAATTGAGATATAAATTGGTTGCTTCGATTGATTGGTTGGGACCTGATTTAGTAAACATGTAATGAACTAAGCATTTGTGTGAAACTGAAAAACTTTCATTGTAAGTGCAAGCAAGTTAAGCAAATTTCGTAATTTTTTTAAAATTTTAAACGATGAATGGTGTTGAATTTTAATTTAATCTGATATCTGATCCGTTTTGCACACGCGAGTTATTAAGGGTAGTTTTTTAAGATCAGTACGCTTTACCAAAAAAAAGTCTTAGCAAATCCCATCTCAGGGTTATGTGCAAAAGTTTGTCCAAAAACACGTAATGAGGAAAAGGTTGCAATCGACTTGTTTTTCTCTCAATGTTAATTCAGGAAAGGTAAATAAGTTTTATTTGTGAGCAGCATTTCCTTTGTGCGAAAACATGAGCGAAAGTTTCTCTGATAGATTGATTTTCTCTTCATCGAAACTGAATGCTTATTCTGCAATCAGCAAATAATTTGAGTTTAAAAAAGGTTACTACACTAGCCATCAGCTTAGTGTGTTATTACGAATCGTTTCTTTTTTTAACCTAACTCGCAAATAAAAGTATTCTTTAAAAATGTTCACTTAATTGGAAATTTCACTGTAGCAATCGAAACTGCATAGTATCTGTTCTCTGTTTTGTTTGTGGCTAGTGTTTAGCACCTATTAAGTTTCCGTGGCTAAGTGGTTAGTTGCGAGACTCTTAATCTACAGGTCGCTGGTTCGAACCTTATAATTCGAGGCTTATTTCTAATTTTTTTGAGTGCATTTTATTGAGCTGCTTTTTGTCCTTTGCTCGGTAGTGCTTGCGAAGCGAAGCTTCGACTGTGTTAAAAATGTTTGAGTATCGAAATTTGTTAGGTTTATGCGGATTATTTTCATGTGCTCAAAAATTACATTCAATGGAGGTCAAATTATCTACCACGAACTCAAATTGCTTATTGAGGTATGAATGTTTGTCGTTAAACATCAATCTAATGAGCGTAGTGTCATAATTCGTTCGAATCAACTCAAACCGTAAACAAAACCGCTCATTTGATGGAAATTTTGCTATAATCAGAGTTTAATATCATCACAATGGCAGTTTAATATCATCTGTTCTCTGCTCAAAGATGACTAGTTTTTGATTATTTCAAAGTGACCTTGTCGCAGGCACAAGCACATGAGACTCCTAATGTTAAGATAGAAAATCGAATAGCCTACTTAGCCTTTGTTTTTTTTTACATTTGATGGTATTTTTGCTGCATAGCGTTGGCAATTTATCAGCACCTATAGGTGCTTAATTGGAGGCTAGTTTTAGGCTAATAGTTTCTTAAATAGCATAAATGGGAAGATGTGAGACTAAAAATTTCATTGTATAGATTCTAACTTGAAGAGTGCAAGCGTTTTATTTACCGGATTGTTTTTTTATTTATCACTTTCTTGCATACTTGCAAATGGCAGCTTCGCCTATGTTTTATTGTTTTTTTTCTATTAAGAACACGAGCTAACGAGCATAATGTTGCATTAGGAATCAAGTTTTTCTAACCGAAAGTGCAATAAAAAGTGCTTATTTGGTGACACTTTTGGTAAACTTTCAAGAACTGGCAATGTCATTGTATATGTAGCTAGTGTTAGTGTGTTAAACACTTTAAATTGAAGTTCTTTCCAAGTGTGTTGAATACTTTAAATTGAAGTTCTTTCCATTACCTGAAATGCGAAGAAAATACGGTTTAAGTTAGGCTTTGTTTTCTAAATTTTAGGCGGCTCGAAGGAAACTTTATAGCAGTCTTAATGCCAACTTTCAGCGAAAACCGGAAACAGTCGCAAATCGGAGAATATTTAACTGGCAGTTTTTCTAATATTGATCGATCTTCAGACAAAAGGCTTTAAATTGTCAAAATTTATGCTCAGCATGTAGTTAATTGCATTGTCTATCACACTGAAAAAGGAAAATTTGAAAATCAAACAGGGCATTGTCAAAAAATTTAAACTTCCTGTTGAAATATCGAAAAATTTGGTTTCTACCAAACAATGCAGCAGAATATTTGTTTTCCGAGATTGTCATTTCATTAATCAAGCGTCCTGTTTTACGGCTTTATAATATCAAATTTTCCTTTTTTTTAGTCAGCTTATTAATATACGTAACGAGAAAATTGATTTCATTTCGAATAGTTTGTCTATGACACCCTGTAGTTGTGCTTTGAAAATATTTTAAAAAAATTTCGTTCGCAAGGATATTTCGTTTTCCTCAACTTGATAAGATGTTATCGAAACTTTCTGCAAAAAAAATGATAGATGGTTGTAGCCTTCCCACAGATGATTCCCGTCAGAACTATTATCACAATGCAATTTTTTAAAGAATTTGTTTCAACTTCTTAATTCTGCTGTGCATCAGGCGATATGAAGTAAGAGTTTCTCGCGATATTTACAGTTTTTTTTCTTGCCGACAATGGGACAACTTTTTTGAAACTTTGTTGCAGGTCAGAGAGAGCATTACTGAAAATATTTTTATTATGACATACATTTCAACCCTTTATCTGTAATTTTTTTTTGTTAACTATGTTTCCGTGGAGACAATAAAACCCTAACACTAATGGCACTAATGGGAAGACTTGAGACTAAAAATTTCATTGTCATAGGTTCTACTTTGATGAATGGAAGCGTTATATTTATCGGATTGTTTTATTTATTTATCATTTTCTCTTATATTTGCAAATTGCAGCTTCGCTTCTGTTATATTGTTTTTTTTTCTATTAAGCGCGCGAGCTAGCGAGCATAGTGTTGCATTAGATTTTTTCTTGTCGACACTGGGGCAAATTTTAAGAAACTATTTGTTGCAGGTCAAAGCATAAAAATGTTTTAATAATGACATAAATTTCAATCCTTTTTATGTAATTTATTCCGAACACTAGATCTAAGTCGAAATTCTCAAAACTCATCCGTTAAGATTTTCCAAGAGAATTGTTTCTTTCATAATCCAATCGACGTTTAGGAACAATATTTGCAATCCGTGTAAATGAACTTTCGACTGAAATCGTTGTAATGATGTAAGCCCAAGAAAAAGTCAAATGCCCAGAAAATTATTTGTTTGTTGAATCGGGCAAGCATCTAGCGAACGGATATCAGGCGATCCTTTGGCGAGATCCTTGACATTTATGAAAGTTAGAACACGAATTAAGCCGAGTCATGTTGCAACATGGAATTTCTTTACTTTCATAGGCAAATGTTGACTAATTAATGGTAATATTTATAGTAAATCCTTGCCAATTGACGAAATTTGTTACGAGGATAGATTCTCTGGCGAACTCATAATAAATATCTGGCGAAATAACGGAATTAAACAAAAAAGAGCTTTTATACTGACGTCAGCAATGCAAATTATGGCTCATTTCATTTGTGATTCTAAAGATAGACTGTTTCGGCTCCCTCATTTGAATAGTTTTTTGCTGATTAAATTTTTGAGAGATCTCTGAAATATGGAACCTCTCGCTGTAATTGTAAGTGAATCTTTTTTATTTTGCATTTTGAACCTGGGCAATTAGAATTAGCTGCAAGTAGTCGTCATTCGTTTTGAATCCTGTTTTCTGATAAACATAGTTTGGCGTTGCCGCAATGTATCAAAACTTCAATAATTCTGACTTGTGGGGACTTGAGATTTTACCCATAATTTCTCCATCTTGAGCCAAAATTAGTATTGCAGAAGATGGCCAGTCAATGAGCAGAGTATGGTCAAAAAGTAGAAAAGGCCTGAAAGCTTAAAAACAGACACATACTGATTATGGGGGTTGATCGATCAAACATTTTATAGAATTATTAATACTACCAAGGAAACGAAAAAATTATCCATTGTTTGAGTAGTTGCAGCAGGTTTTTTTCTGTTGAATGCTTCCGCTTGCGATTAGCAAGCGCTACCAAACTGGAATATAGACTTTTTTCGGGTTAACAACTTGTTTAACAGAATCACTTGTATCTTGGTTCATACAGAATTTAAACTTCTATACGTTTCCGGCCACCTTAGACTGTAGGTAACGAATATGCTTGGGGCGGCAAAGATCCTGGGTTTGAATCTGATCGTTTGTTTTTCAAACGGGAAATATTCTGTTTCAAATAAAATTGTCTGCCGATTATTTGTCTGCTTATATGTTGTCGGCTTAGTTGACACATCTTAAAACAGTTTTTTTTTACTGCGTGCATTTTTTAAGTTTACTTTTAGTGTTTATTTTACTCCCATAATTTTCAACTTTACTTAATTTACTTCGTATTTCTTTCGAAATAGTCTGTGAGGTAATAATTGAACCCTATTTCCTTTTTTAATCATTTTCTCAAAAACTGCCCCTCTCAAACTTGAGTTTTCAGTTTCAATGGGTAGATTGATTTCTAAAAACTCTCTTCATGAGCGGCTACGTTCAAATTTTTTGACTCATGATTTTCCATAGATTTATGGCCCTCGGAATAATCAAATTTTGATTTTCGATCGTTTTGTGAATCTTTTTGACTTTTCTCGAAAACTAACTTCTCAAGTCTGATATTGTGGAATTAATGGAGACAAGGGGTAGTTAGAATCCCCTGCATTAGCGGCACTTCACTAAGCTTTTTTATGCAAAAAGTTATTTCCCTCGTAAAATTCAAATTTTGATTTTTGACAGTTTTTCAAACTTTTTGAAAATTCTCAAAAACTACCTGGCCTGCCTAGCCGTATTTGAGATTTTGTATTCAATTCAAAAAACGGATTGTGGGAAGCTCATTCATTTACGTGACTACTCCCAAATTTTTGTGAAATGTTCAAATTTTGATTTTTGATTGTTTTGTGAATTTTTTTGACTTTTCTCGAAAACTAACTTCTCAAGTCTGATATTATGGAATTAATGGAGACAAGGGGTAGTTAGAATCCCCTGCATTAGCAGGCACTTCACAAAGCTTTTTTATGCAAAAAGTTATTACCCTCGTAAAATTCAAATTTTGATTTTTGACAGTTTTTCAACTTTTTTGAAAATTCTCAAAAACTACCTGGCCTGTCTAGCCGTATATGAGATTTTGGATTCAATTCGAAGAACGGGTTGTGGGAAGCTCATTTAATTTTTTGACTACTCCCAAATTTTTGTGACACGACAAGGTCAAAATTTTGATTTTTGACCGCTTTTAAGAAAAGTTTTTGAAATTTCTCGAGAACTGCCCTGCCAAATCTGAAAGTTTTGGGTTCAAGCGAAACTACCTTTTGAGTGAATCTGTTCTGCATAAATGGCTATGCCCTATGTTCTCACACAAAAAAGCTATCATTCTTGGAAATGTGAAATGATTGGTTTGTTGACCGTTTTTTGGACTTTTCTCGCTAACTATTCTGCCTGATCTGATATCATAAGTTTAATCGAAACAACAGATTGTTAATTACCTACATTGCTAACTGGCTATGCCCAGTTAGTTTCAGGAAATTTTATGGCCTTCAAGCAAGTTGAAGTTTTGAAACTTTGACAAATTTTTGGAAATTTTTCACTCTACGCGAAAACTACGGTGCCAATTCTCAGATTTTGTTCAATCGAGAAATTCGGTTTTGGGAATCTTCTTCGCTTAAACGGCTACAACTTGCTTTTAGCAGAAAAAAAATATGAGTGTTAGAAATCGTTTTGACCGTTTTTCAGAAATTTTGACCGTTTTTTTTTTGAACTTTTTTATTTTCTTATAGCTTAGCAATCAAATCTAAGATGAAAAGTTCAATCGAAAGAAGCGGTTGCGATACAGGTTTCTGCAGAAGGGGCGAATCCTTAGTTCGTTGTAAGAGAATTGTTATCTCCTTCGGTAAATTGATTATCTCAACTTTTTTACTCTTCTTACTTAATTTAGTAGAGAACCAACTAAGGTTTTGGGCAAGGTTCAATTTTTGAAAGTTCAATTTTCGTACGCCATCAGTATAGCAAGTTCATTCAATATCAAACATGTATATCCAATTTTAACTGGGCCACTAGTTCTTTTTTTTATCGAGAAATCCGAAAATTAAAGTTCATCTAGTTTTTTTCAACAATTATTTTTTCCGCTCCGCCTTGCCTCTGTGTTAGAAAATATTGCTCAAATTACTCAGATAATTTACATCTTGACGTTTTTTTTGATAATTTTGTTAATTATTATACTTGTTTTACCGAGTAAGAGCGAGTACATCCTTAGGGTAAATCCTTATCAATCAAAAAGATTATCAATCTCTTCGTCCGTTGAAAATATTACGCGAACGCGAGAGATGAAAAACGCTAATTCTCCATTACAAACCTCTGCAAGTACGACTAAATACGATTAGATATAGATATTTTGCGTTTACAAAAGTTTGATGTGTGTTTAGTTTTTGCTGTGTTCTCTCTTTGGATCATTTATCGCTGTTGAGAATCAAAGTGATCCTTCAAATCCTCCCTTCCAAGATGATGCTGCCTGCGAAACTGTAGGTTTATCTATTTAATGTTCTAACCACGTCACCTAAGTGACAGAAAAGAGTTATGAATCAGCTAGCGTTTTTTTCGCCCGCTTTTGGCTACCTCAGAGGATGCTCGAATGAAGTCAAATTTCTATCATAATATAACTTTTTTTGCCGTAATTCGGATTCCCAAAATTAGTCGCAGTTTCAAAAAAACTGGTCCAAATTTTTCTGTTTTTCTGACCCCCTGACTACGATCCAAAGGGTCCGTTTGGTCTTATTTTAGGACATCCATTTTTGGCTGACCAACCGTACAATTTTCTAAAAGCGCCAATATAAACTAATTTTGAGAGGAAGCGCCAAAAAACTCAATTTTTTAGGCAAAAATTTCCAAAAAGTGCCTAAAAAGGCTTTTTTAGCCTGTTTTTTCATAAATTCGACTGCAGCACAGAAAATTTGACAAAAAAGGTTCTTTATATTGTTTTTGAAAGCTGAGAAAAACAATTTGGTCGACCTAAAACAAAAAGTCGACAAATTTTTGATTTTTTTTAAAAATCAATCCACTTTTGAAAAACCTTGTTTGTTTGATAATATTTGGTACGCTAATGTTTGGTATGTTTATAGCACGTAAAAGCACAAACGCAAATTCAGTCACATTTTTGAATTGTTAAATTTTGCTGAATGACCGTGCACAATTTGAAACTTTTCGAAGAAAAAAGTGGAAAAACTTTCGAAAACACACGTAAAAAAAATGAAACTGTTTCCTACATACGTTGCGCTTATTGCACAGGCTTCTAAGATGGAACCCGCTGCTGTGGATTGCACAGCTGCAGATTGCATAAACGGTTTCTGTGTTCTACGGCACGACGGCTCTGCAACCTGTGAATGCTACGATTCCTGGACCGGGCCCTATTGCACTTTCTGGTGTCCGTGCTTGGACTTCGACTGTAACAACGGGACTTGTGTCTGGGACAACACTGACCAAGAAACCAGATGCGAATGCGACTTGGGTTTCTCTGGAAAGTACTGTGACAAGTCATCGGGATGCAATTTTGACACCTGCAATCACGGAGTCTGTAAACTTAATGGCGAAGAAATGACTAGCTGCAGTTGTGAGTCAGGATGGGCTGGGGAGTTTTGTGACACGTCAGCTCTTTGCTCTGTCCTGGATTGTGAAAATGGCTACTGTTTGTGGGATGAAGATGATGTAGCTTTCACAAAATGCCAATGTGATCGCGGGTATTATGGAATACGATGCGAACTAAATAATATGACAGAGGTTATTTTCCAAAGACGTGCTAAATATGACGTAGATTTCACTGATCAGTTATTCGTGGCATATGAGAAAGGATTCGGAGACGTAAATGATGAAAAAGGTGGCGATTTCTGGTTGGGCCTGGCGAAGTTGAATCAACTCACTACCAGCGGAAATTGGAATTTGAAGGTCATGTTCACAGATTTCGATGGCAATGAGTGGTGGTCTCAGTATTCAAGTAAGAATCGCATTGTGCCATTTTTGAATTCTGATTTGGGCTAAATGTTTTTCACATGGTGTCCAGAGTTGTTAGAAAGTGGGGATATTGTAAAGAGACGAACAAATAAACGGCGGAAATTGATTCGCAACCAGCTATAAAATTGGATATTTTGTCATTTGGAATTATAGACACAGGAGGGCCATTTTTCAATTGCAGAAAAGCTAAAAATTCCATTTATTTGGCGTGTTATCCGTCCGTTAGAACTTTTTTTTTGACAGCCATGTTTGGCCTAACAATCATCAAAAGCATCTAGTGGCTATCATATTTACTCATGTTTTTGATAAACAACGTATTCCAAAAGACCCAGTTGGTCTGGCCGGCGCAACGTCCGATAAGTTTCCGAAGTCTAAGTTTCAAAAATGAACTCTGGCGCATAAACATTTCGAAATGCAGGTTTAAGGAGTTGCACGTTAGCACAGGAAACAAAATGTCATGTGAGTTAGTCTTAAAAAAATAGAAAAAAAAACCCTCAATTGCACAAGAAATAACAAGGCGATGTTCAAATTATGATGTACATTTTCGAACCTCAAAATCGGAAAATCTCTTTTCATGTTTTTTGTACCACTTTTTGTATGAAAGACGACTAAAACTTAAAAAATTACACTTAATACACATAAGAAACACAAAAAGTGTTACCGAAAAAAGTTCTTTTATTGTTTTATTTTTTAGTTGTTATCTTTTAGATTATTTAATCTTTTAATCAGGTGGGACAAGTCTGGTATCAAATTAAAACCAAATAATTCGTAAACCGTATTCCCAACAAAAAAATTCAAATACCTGTGTTGTGAAAAATGTCTGATTTTATCGATTTTTAGACAGAAGACAGCTTGAATAGAGATTAAGTTCTCTTAATGCTACTCTCCTAATACCACGAAGAAATTTCAAACTAATTAGAAATTTAACGCAACTTAAGCTAATGTTCTAAACTACAATGGCTTTTCTGCTTAATTTTCACCTAAATCAATCATGCATTCAAAAAATGCAACAGTAAATTTACACAGAACAACTATTTGAAAAATGAACCCGCACTGTCGAATGCATAAAGCGTTGATAAAAAAATTCCTTTGCCAGACACACTATTAATTTAGGGGCAAACTTTTTTCATCAAGCTATTTATGGTACAATTTTTGTTAGATTTTTGTTTTCATTGTGGTCTTAAGCTTTTTAGTGAAACTATAATAAATTGTAACCACATATAGTTGGTTGTAGTTTTCGCTGAATATCTTTTCAAATCGATTATAATAGATAAAACTCTCCTTGTCTACAAATAAATTCATCACAGCAAAAAAAAACTTTTGTAAATGATTACAATTTTGGTATGTACGAAAACTCAACAACGTAAATGTAAATTGAAGCAGAAATCTAAAAAATATATTGTATTAAAATATATTGACAATAAATACATTTAAATAATTTATTTTCCAGTTGCAATATTTGAATTGCAAAGCAGGTTTCCAATATAACTCGGCTACTAATTGAAGTTCTTGGCTTAACTTGGCTAATTGACAATTGGCTCGGCTAGCTTCACTTGAATGGATTAATCGTGCATCGCTTGCATTCTGATTGGCCACGATCGTTTTCAAATCAGAGAAAAAGGATAAAAGTCGATTCGTAACAACCTAAGAGACTGTAATAGGCTATTATTACACGCGAATGAACTTGATGAACTCATTTCTGTTCTAATTATTGATAGGCCACGATTGTTTTGAAGGCGCAAACTGAATAATAAGCCAAACTAGAGTCTAATACACGCATATAAACTTGTTTTACACCTGTGAAAACCTCGGATCAACATTGTGAAGTTATGGTCATACACAAGTTCTGTTCTATTGATTAAAAAAGCTGAAGTTTGGTAAAGTTACGTTTTGAAAAGCACTGATCACGAATTTGATACGCAATATAGCATTAATAATTTATCAATGAAACAGAATTGACTAAGACTATAGCTTCAAGAACATCTCGTTTTGACTACTTTGCACTGTGAAATTTCGTTTTCTCGATAATTATGGCCCCTCACAAGAAACGCGACGTGGCTTTGCATTATTCCAAAGCTCTTACTGGACCTGATTTGTTATGGGAATGCAAGAAACGTGGGTTCAAACGGAAGCAGACCAAGAACAACGGCTATGAAAATCTCTTCGGCCACGTTCTGCAAAAACATAAGAATTATCAAGAAGAAATGAATAGAACAAACCCTGCTGTAAAGTTTGAGGAATCCGAACACTCAAAAATGTCTACGGATGGCCGGAATGGTTGAAAATGAATGGCCAACCGTTCAACCCTATGGAAAATGAGCTAAACAAAAAGCATACAAAGCTTACTCCTATTTCTGTTTATGAGGTATTTCCAGTTGTTGACGGAGAAGGTTGAACGAACAGTCGAGGAGTCTTGCCCTCAAAAGTTTGGGTTAGTCATTGACGGATGGGGTAAAGGAGGAACCGGTACCCATTTTAGCGCAGTGTTTGCCGCCTTTCAAACCAATGACCTCAAACCGCAAACCTTGCTAATAGCATTTTTAGCTCTTTTTGATGAAACTGAGTTTTTTGCGTCCAGTCAAGTGGAATTTTTTGATTTCACTCTCGTTGTGTTCAACCGAACATTGAGCGATGTTTTATTCATCACGGGAGACAACTGTACTACCAACCTGAAAATTGCGAAACTGATCAATGTGCCAATTATCGGGTGTGCCATTCACAGATTCATTCTGGCAGTTCTTAAGTACTGAAACCTAACTCTGATCTCATAGAAAAAGTCAACAACTTGATGAAAAAAGCTAGCACTCTAAAGCGGAGAGGGTACCTGCGTGTATTGACTGATCTCTGCCCAGTAACTCGAAATTTCACTCTTTGGTCATCTACGTACATGATGTTTCAGCGGTTGTTTGATTTGAAAGACTTCTTCATCCCGCTTGATAGAGAATTGACTCCCTATTTTTTGTCTCCAAACGATCTCGTTTTACTGGAAGAATTGCGGAACCCCCTAACCAAGTTGCAGTCAATCACTAAAAAACTTCACGAAGATCAATGAGTTTTCAGGACTTGAAAATTTTTTAGAAAGGAACATTGGGACACTGACTCATTATCCAGATTTCGAAAATGAAGTCTTCAATACTATCGAGGGCGTTTCTTTATCACCAGAGCAAAACAAAGCATTGGAGAAACTAATGGATACCGTTTTGGTAGATGGAACTGCGAGTGAAAATGAAGAAATTTGCTGCGACTATGCTGAAAGTATAAGAAAAGGAAAGAAAAGCGAAAAAAATGTGAATCTGGAGTGGATTTCAGCTACTTCAATTATGCCGGAGCGGTTGTTCAGCAGAGTTGATATATATACTGAATTGAAGTATAGCTAATAAACAGAATATACTGAGAACACAACGTTATAACAGCAATAAACCCTTAAATGAATTTTTTCAACATCTTCTGATGTAATCTGCTATGCTCATGTAGTCTGCTGCCAAAATAGTCTATGCTACATTCAGGTCTGAGGTACATGCAGGTAGAATGCTCATTCACGTGAGAGTTGGATGCAGGTAGGATGTCTGTTCTGTTGAGAGGCCGGTCAAGTTACGATGACTCTTCAGCGGAGAAGTTGCTGCAGGTACGATGACCTTTCAGTTGAAAGATGAATACAGATGAAAAGCTACAAATTAAGAGGTCAAAACGGGTACCGGATGTCTTGCGACTGGGAATTTGGGCTGAATAATAAATATTTTGGCATTTTTTCTGTATTTGATTTTTTTCGGCCTCTAAAAGTCGTATATTACTCGGCCTGAAATCCCTTCGGCTAAACATTCGGTACCCTGTCTACGGTAGAGGGTAGAGGTTAACTCATGATAGCAATTGATATCTGTGGACATCCTGCATGGTTCTTGGAAATACTGCATTAATTACTTTACAGAATAGTAACAATTCAAAATTCATTTTGAATCGATTATAATCGAAATATTAAGAAATCTACATAAAAAACCAGAAAAATTAGCATAAAATTGATTATCAACCATTTTGTTAAATCGTGTCAACTCTCCGTTTTTTTTTATTTTTAAAATTTTCTTCAGCTTTTTTTCTGTTCTCAAAATAGTGTAATTGGCACTTTCTGTGCTTTTTGCTCAGAGCCGGTTATTCTTGTTCAAGTAGTCGAATGATTGCTTGGGCACATGCATGCTAGTTCGAACTTTTTCAATTGACTTCAAAGGTTTTCATAACAGAAAGTTCCGTGATGTTTTCGATCCAACTTTTTTTTTCGCACGCAAGCGTGAAAAAAAAATAAAAAACAATTTTTTAGACATAAAATTTTCATCAAAACCCATTCAAGGAACTTTTTGTTTAGAAAAAAGGTCGCAAAACGAAGTTTGTTCTATCTATATGAGTGATCAATTAAATATTTTAAATAAACTTCTTTCAGGCTTCAAGATCCTAGCTGGACCGGCGTATACATTGACATATACAGGCTGGGTCGACGGAAACTATGACAGTGATTACGGAACCGACAAAGGTCTGGACTATCAGCGGGATAATCCATTCTCCACAGCAGATAAAGATCAAAGCGGTAATTCGTGCGCAGAACATTATGGCGGTGGATGGTGGTTTGATTATTGTGATTGGTTGAACCTCAATAACGCAGAAGCCTTATCTCCTACATTTAGCCATTTGTACATGAGCTATAACATTCACCTGAATGGTTCTTGGAAATCATTCGGCGTTCGCTCAAGTGAGATGCGCATGTTGAAAATTGACTGAGCGAAAGCTATTTGCTGACTGATCAATCCCAGCCGTGGCAATTCACTGGAACCTTGTTTTGTGAAAAAAAAACATGTGAATCATTTAGCAGTTTGGTTTCACTTTGCTGCGGATGGCAAACTTTCAATTCAAATCATGTAGAAATTTATTAATTTGGAAGCATATTCTTAATTAAGATAAGTTTTTGTGCTGATCCAATTTAACGAAGAATAGTGCAAGGTTTTTATAGAAAATTAGCTCATCATAATGAGTCCAAACAGTGTATATGCTGAACAAGCCGAGCACTGGATAAGTCGTAATGGATTTTCTAAAATTATTTCAGTATGTCAGTATTTGGAATGTCAAAATTTCAGTAAAACTTTCGTGGAAAAGCGTAAAAAATAATTTTTCTCCGTGTACCGTGTTTACAGAGTTTACAGTGTTTCTCGAATAATTTTGAGCGGATTGAGCCAAAAATTTACGGAAACCAATTTTTTTTCCAAACAAAAAATTTACTTCACATTTGAAAGATTTGCTGATCATTTTTGGCCGGTGTTGGAATGGTAATCAGCGTCAGAATTTAGTTGCTAATCTCAGTCTTCTTATCAAGTTTAACATTCTCAAAGCTACCTTCAATTCGTTTCTCTTAAAAAATAATTTCATTATTTTTCTGTGAGCACCAGAAAAAAACGCTAGTTGATCCTTGGAATGTTTGTTGCTGCACAACTATTTTCACCATGAAAACTATGCAGATCGAGTAAAAAAACATGAATTCAGTTTTGATAGAAAATCGTAGAACAATGATATCTTGGCTTTCCTTGTGTTTCCGGCACATTTAGTCTGCTGGTAACCAATACGCCTGGGCGTAAATGTCCTGTGTTCAAAACTAACCAGGAGCACTTTTTTTCAAACCGGAGTTACCAAACAAACTTTTGGCCCATTTTTTATCAGCTTATGTTTTGTTGGCTTAGTTGCCACATCTTAGAATGTTTCTTTTCGTTCTACGCAGTTTTCTATCAAGTTGCTTCTAGTGTTCTCATTTCTACAATTTTTATTTTTTCTGACCTTGTTGAATACGCATATTTTGCTTTTTTTGTTTGTTCTTGCCTAAAAACTTCGGTCTAAATGTTTTCGTCTCGTTTTGATTGGCAGTTTACAGTTCAAACGAACAGACTTTATAGTTCAAAGTTTTTGTTTGACGTTTTTTGAAGTTTGTCGATTCCGTTAACAATCTATAATTGTTTTTGGTTTTTTTAGCCGCTGTCATTTGTGTTTTTGGATGTGTTTGCAAATGAAAACATTCTTCCGGGTCATCTTTTGAAATTTTTCAGTTAAGTTTTTCAATTTTTTGTGGATTTTGTGGCTGTCGGCTGCCACTTTTCAATGATGAAATTATTTGGTATCACCAGCGGCGTGAAGCTCCGCTTTGCCTCTGTTAAAATTTACCACACACAGTTTTTGTATTTCAAATTTGTTTTTAAAAGTAAAAACCGAGTGTTTTTAAACCTATTTTTTCTGGAATTTTTAGTAAAATTCCAAGAAAAGGTTTATTTTTGTGATAAATTTTTGTTCAAAACTTCAATCAGTAATTTTGAGAAACAATTTTCATCTTAGAGCTTGACGTTCTGTTCCAATCCTTTAGACTTTTTCAATTTAGTACCATATAAATGGTAAAGAGCGGAAGTCAACAATTAAAAAACAAATTGTTGGAAAGATTTTCAGACAGACCTTTTTATGTGAGAGTTTTTGTTTGCCAGGAAAGAATTTCAGATATCTTTGGCAATTTATGCTTATTGAAAAACTGGTCACCAAAATTTTTGACCAAGTCAATATATCGAACAAAAATTCTCAGTTTTTCAATTTTTTAACAATAAGGCGCCCTACAGAGTTGAAGCAAATGCAGTTGTGATTCAATCAATAACAAAAAAATCCAATAGCTTTTCTTGGTTCGGAGAAAAATCATCATGAATTTTTAGTTTTTTCAAGTTCTTTTCAGAGGAAAATGTTATGATTTTTTTGTTGTGATTTTGAATTTGTAAAACTGATGAAAACTTTTTACTGATATGTCATTGACAACCTTTGTAATGGGTTCCAATTTACCTTTTCACTCCTCAAGTCCCCTCAGTTGCAAAAAAAAAAACATTTTTATTGAAAGAAAAATTCGGAAATCTAAAGCTAACGTTGTCGGAGCCCTCTGTGCTACTTGCAGAACAACCTGCTATTCTTGTCACGAAATTGAATTCATTTTAAGTTTTTTATGCGCGTTTGTCACGCTCGATTCAAACGAGCATTCGTTTTAAAAACCAAAGATAATTGCTCTTAACAATAGTTTAAAATGTCTGTTTCGAAATGTGGATCAACTGTACAATCTCTCCCTCCCCCCCCCCCTAAATGACCTACTTCAGCATGTATTAGTTCTGAAAAATAATTTTGTATAAAATATGCCTATTTCACCCAAACGCGCAAATAAAAAAGTTTTTTTTTTGCTTTTCAATGCGAGATTGCATTTGTATGCTGTTAATTAACATTTTTAATTCAATTTTAATTCAATTTTTTCTTCATTTTTAATTCATTTTTAATTCATTTTAATTCAATTTTTTAGTAACACGGTTAAATTATAACAATTTTAGGCTGTTTTCAAATTTAGTTTATGAAAAATCGATATTTTTTCCTCCCGATTTGGGGGGAGGATTTGTACGGTTGATCCTGAATTGTTTTTATCGAGTTCCGGTCTTCGCAAAATCTGTAGTGGCTGCAAGCGTAACAAGCATACATATTTCGCACTTTCCTCGAAAGTCGGAACAATAAATTCTAAATTTGACTTTCTGTTTTTCTTGTGCGGAAAACAAGTGGTCATAAATTGCTCTCTAATATCTAACACTATACAATTACAGTGTATTTGAATGAAGTCGCGCTATGCTCCGGTCAACCTGGTCAAATAGATTTACCACAAAAAAGTTTTTTTGTTGTCTTTCAGCTATAAGATAAGCACGGTATTTATAAACTTAAGTCGAAATGACAGAAAACTTTCGATTCTGTTCTTCCAAAATATAAATAAATGCTTGTAAACTGGGAAAACTTACCTCAAAATGTTCAGAAATGAATTAGTAACGCTATTGGAGATACGGGTTTTGCAGTTTTTCAGCAAAAATTGATTATATCTTCTGATCGTAGAAGAATAGCAGAACACGGGTCAAAGTTGTGTCTAAACTCACGTCGCTAATCGAGTGAGTGAGAAGGTGCTAGGGAGTTTAGCGGTCTTGTTTTTTAGCAGACTGCTCTTTTAGCAGACTCAGAACAATTAGCAAGTCAGAAAGCTAATTTCAAAGGTGCATTGGCAATTAGCGGTCGCTTTTTCCACTGCAATTTCATTCGGGACTTCATTTTGCCGCTAATTCACAAGACTATTGAAGTTTTTGAAGTTGATAGTTTCAAAAACTTCAATAATCGTGAGATAATTGTCCTAATTGGGGAATCTTGGTCCAAGGCTGAGCGTCTTTTTTTGAATCTGTCAATGAATCATGCATCTCGTTATTCTGTTAGTCTGCTAAAAGACTTATTTTTCACTTTTAATGCTAAAAGATTGGTCTGCTAAACGATTGGTACCCGAGTGAGAACTATTCTCAAGTGACAGCCTGAACAAATGGTAAACGACCTATTACCTTTTCTGACGGCTACATGCTCAATTGAAACATTGCAGTCGCTTGAAAAAAAAAGCCTAACTCTGTCGCTAGTATAAAATTTGTTTTCTCAAATTTGAAGCTTCAAATGACGTACAAGTCGTTGAACAGCCGATAAGTTACGAACAAAAAATAATTTTTTTGCAACTAAGTGAATTCAAAAACAAACAAGATAGTTTGTATTTCAGGGTGAAGCCTTGATTGTTCCGACTCCACTTTAAAGCCAACTTTAAAATTAAAAAACAAATTTGGTTGAAAAATGACGAAATATTCGAGAAAAATTAGAAGATAGTTTTTTTTCTTTTTTAAATTTATCCCCCACACGCTGATGTAACATAAAAAGGGATGTATTGAGCGTCTTTTATGCTAAAATTACGACCACATGAGTCGCCTAAATCCCATTTGGATCGCATTAACCCAGTGCTTAAGAGTGTTATTAGACCGCAATTTATTACGCATTAGTTATCCAAAATTGACCAAATTAGAAGTTTTCAAACACAACAAATTTTATAAAAAATGATCACGAGTGAAATATATTTGTGAAAAAGTAAACAAACAAATATCTTTCTTATAGTAAAAAAAAGTTCTGCCAAATTTTTTAAATCGAAATGACGAAAACTGACAGAATAAAAAAGCCACCCCAAGCATAAATACTCCGCATATTCTTCGAAATCCGGAATAACAAGACTGCTTGTACAGTGCCGAGACTTGATTGTTGTGAATGCTTTTCAAGAGCTATAAAAATATGTTCCCTTACGAAAATCATGAACTCGTTTAAAAATGATTTAAAAAAAAAACAAAAAATATATATTTTTTTGAGATTGATTTTTGAAAATCAACCCGCCAGATGTTTGATAAAGCCCAAAACGCTTAAAGTCCATTTAGCAAAGTTTTATAAAGACCAGATATTATGTCTCAATTCAACTTGGAACGATTTCTAAGAAGGATTAAATCTCCTTCAATCTCCTGTACAATCCCCCCCCCCCACCTAAATGACCTACCGTAGAGTGCCCTCCCCCCAGCATGTATTAGTTCTGAAAAATAATTCTGTATAAAAGATGCTTTTTTTAGTAACACGGTTAAAATATAACAATTCTAGGCTGTATTCAAATTTAGTTTATGAAAAATTGCTATTTTTTCCTCCCGATTTGGGGGGGGGGGGGGAGATTTTGTACGGTTGATCCTGAATTGTTTTTACCGAGTTCCGGTCTTCTCAAAATCTGTAGTGGCTGTAAGAGTAACAAGCATACATATTTCGCACTTTCCTCGAAAGTTGGAACGATAAATTCTAATTTTGACTTTCTGTTTTTCTTGTGCGGAAAACAAGTGGTCATAAATTGCTCTCTAAGATTCAACACTATACAATTACCATGTGTTTGAATGAAGTCGCGCTATGCTCCGGTACAACCTGGTCAAATGGATATTCCACAAAAATCTTTTTGTTGTCTATCAGCTATAAGATAAACACGGTATTTAAA